AGACATTCAAACAATGCCAACTTTTTTCGGCTGCTGAAAAGACTATGACAAGGTTCTCATAACATCCATCTACTGTCCTTTCTTCCCAGTGGTAATCTATTGTTAATTTATGTGATTTTATATGAAACAATTAAATATAACATGTGGCTCATTATACATACTTCAGCATCTTATTCTTTTTATTATATCTTAGAAATCTTTCCACATAATATATAAAGATGGTCATTATTTTGTTGTTTTACCAGCTGCATAGTGTTCATTTTTATGAATCTACCGTAATTTCATTTTATCCATCCCTTATTGGACTTGCTATTTCAGTATTTTGTAACCATTATTGCTCAGAATTATCTTGCACATATGTTAATTCAAACATTAACAAAAAAGTTCCTGAAAGTGAATTGCTACATTGCACACATTTTAAACTTTATTTTAATTAATTAATTAACTTATTTTGAAGGGAATAAAACAAAAAACAGAACAAAATAAAGCAATGTGAACAATACTGGATTTTCAAAAATAAGACAGAAGGAAATCCCCCAGTATGCAATTGCTATATTACATATTGTTATCCTCTAAACAGATGCTCAGACTACTGACCCCAGGCCTGCAAAATTAATCAGTCAACATAAGCATTAAGTTGTTTTTGTACCTCTGTTGCTATCATCCCAGCCTGTGTTCCACAGGAAGGGCTGGCTGACTTCTTGGTTCTTTTCCCAGCCTGCATACATTTTAAATTTTAATGGTCATGGCCAAATTACCCTTCGTAGAGATTTAGCCAGTTTATCTCCCAATGGTATTGGAGAGTCCTTCTCTCTAGTTTCATCAGTAATATGTCATTAACCTTTTATGTTTTGTCTGTTTCATATATAGTATCTTTTTATTTAAGAACCATTTGTATTTTCTGTTACCTGTCTTTTCATGTGCTTTGCTCATTTCCTGCTGTTACTGGTCTTATCATCTTAGGATAGATATAGTTTTATTTATACTGTAGCTTTATTTTTCACAGTAACATCTTTATTTAGTTAAAATTTATCGTAGTAATATGAAATATATCCTTGTCCAATTGTTATGTTTTTTGTCTAGAGAAATTTTTCTTTAAAAATATAATAATTGGGTTTTCTTTTCAGTTTTCTAGTGTTTTGTTTTGTTTTTTTTTTATACTGGGATCAAACCCTGGAGCACTATACCACTAAGCTACATCTTCAGATACAGATACAGAATTTTTTTTTTTTAAGTTTGAGGTAGGATCTCACTCATTTGCTCAGGTTGGCCTTGAAATTGAGATACTCCTGCTTCAGCTTCCTCACTAGCTAGAATCCCACAGCTAGAAGCCACTGTGCCTGGCCTCAGTTTACTGATTGGAGTCATACTTCTGCTCACTTCTGCCCTGTTTCTTTTTAGTACCATGCAGTCCTACAGCTTTATTTTTTACATTAATAGTTTTATTTGGTTGGGATTTACCCCATATGTGGAATGAAATTGGCTGTGTTTTTGTTTTGTTTTTTCCAAAAGGTTTTTTCCAAAGTTGCCCCAGTAGCATTTATTGAAGTCTTTTTTCCGGCTGTGAACTACAACTTTAGTTTCTAGACGTCATAATTGACTGCGTGTACTTATGTGTGTTCACGAACTGTCTTTAATGTTTTACTTTGTTGAGGCCTTATCATTTTTGATATTTAGTCAAAATAGTTCCCTCTCTTTTCTCTTAAGAGCTTTCTAGCAAGTCTTTATTTTTCCATTTGACCTTTAAATCTTCATGTCCAGTTATACTGTAAAAAATTTGGTATTTCTGATGTTACTGAGTTAAATCGATAATTATATATTTAAATCTGTCTTACCTGATGCTTTTAAGGTAAAGGAGAGTGATGTAATCATCTTTGCAAGTGTGTATATGTAGCTGCTTCCTTTCTGTTTAGTGTGGACTGTGCTGGAGTTTGGAAATACAAAAACATATGAATGTCCCCTCAAGGATGCACATACATTAGGAATGTAAATGCTCATTAAAGGAGTGAGATTTTTGAATTGGCATATTTGTTACTTGTATTTCGTGGAGGAAGAGGTAGACAAAAGCATTACTTTTTTAAAACTTTGTACATAGGTAAATTTTTTTTTTTTTGGTAACTTTTGATTTGTTGCTTTGTAATACCTCAACCATTTAAGAAATAGTCACAGACAGGCCCAGCATGATGACATACACCTAAAATCCAGCACTGTGGAGACTGAGGCAGGAGGGTCCCTGTGAATTCGAGGCTACCCTGCCCTACAAAGTGAGTTCAAGGCCAGCCTGAATTGTATAGTTAAATCTTGTCTCAAAAGGACAAAAAAGAAAGGAAAAAAAAAAAAGAAAGAAAAAATAAAGTCACAGACATGAATGCCCCATTACACCACTGCATGCGTCCTTAAAACTTCAGTATTTCCAAACAGCAAATAAATATGTGAAAAGTGTTCAACATCACTAGCATTGAGAGATGCAAATTAAAACAACACAGATTCCACCTCACCCCAGAAGGAATGGCTACTATCAAGAAATAACAAATGCTGGAGGGGCTATGGGGAAACAGGAGCCCTTCTCCACTACTTATGGGAATTCAGACTAGTGAAATAAATGACACACGTGTAAACATCATATTGTTTCATTAATGCGAGAAGCTGAAAAAAAGACATGGATATATATTTTAAGTTTCACTACTGATTTCTCTGAGTTCACTGAAGAAAAAGATTTGTTTTGGTACTGTTTGGAGAATAGAATGCAGATGTCTTATGCTCTGGATGAATGATTTGGGGTTGACAGTGTGCAATGTATGTACCATTGTTACCCCTGATTGACATGTTTTGAAATTTTCTTGTAGTTTTTACTTTTCTTCCTCTTCCTCCTCCTCTTCCTCCTCTTTTTTATCCTTGAAATAAAATGGATTTGGGAGGAAAAAAACTTAGTATTTCTACTAAGAAAGTCTCCAACACAACCACCTTCAGCCATGAAAATTGAGAAATTAACATAGATTCATATCTCCATCTAATCTGTAGACTATAGACAGATTTTGTCACTTGTCCCAGTAATTCATTTAGGAACTTGGTATTTCAAGCGTTTTTTTGTTTGTTTGTTTTCATTTTTGTCTTTTTGAGACAAGATCTTACTGCAATTTAGTCTGGACTAGAACTCATTTTGTAGCCCAGGCTAGCCTTGATCCTCCTGCCTCTGCCTCCCAACTACTGTCAGTTATCCCTTTCTAGTTCTGATGAGTCGCAGGTTAATAACTACTGGCTGAGTATGGTGGCACATACCTGTCAACCCAGCATTTGTGAGACTGTGATGCAGGAGGATTGCCCCAAGTTTAAGGTCAGACTGGGCCACATAGTTGAAGGCCATCCTCAACTACATAGCGAGACCCTGTCTCCAAAAGATAAAGAAATAAATTTAGCACTTCTCACTCACCTTGATTTTCATGGCTTTAACATTGTTGAAGAGTTTATACTTTATCAGTGTTCATGATTTTAAAATTTTGTCAGGAATTCCAGAGAAATGATACTGTGCTGAAGTGTGTGGTACAGATCTGTAGATACGTCCCATAATACATATCTGTGATATTAACTTTTATCTATTTAAGCTGGTATGTATTTGCAAAGTTTTTCCAAATAGTTAATAAGTATTATGATAATTACTAAGTACTTTGTAGGAAGATATTCTAAAACTACGTGAATATTCCAGTGTAATCAAACTTTCACCCACCAGTTTTAACATTTATTGATAGTTTTTGTCTGAAGTGATGTTATGATAGTTGCTAAGTGGTGATTTTCTAATGTTGTCTTCTAACCTATTAGTTGTCATCTTAATGTATGTTAGAACTTTTCCTCCCCCCTGCCATGCTTATGTATTACTGTGAACTTACAGGTTAATTTACTCAAAATTGCAATTTGCTAGTGCGGTTTTTTTTCTTTTAATGCTCATATTGTCCTGGATTTGTCCCCAGTTTGTATGGAGCCTCTGCAAACAAACCACTAGTGTGCTTTTGGAATGGCCCCATCATTCGTGCACTTCCTGATGAGTGGGGCATGTTACTGCAGCCCAGACTCATCTTATGCTTACCCTGCCCTGGCTCTGGAGTCAGCAGTTTCGTCAAGGAGCCCAGGTTCCTTTTAATGTAGTGTTAAAGAGGTCTTTAGAATGCTTTTATGTGGTTGTGCTCATAAGCTACCTGGGTGTCATTATTGCTCTGTTCTTTTGAAGGACATAGATGTCAATAGGAGATGTACATATGCATTTATATATACACATATCTATATATGCCCATATATACACATCTATTTTTTATGTATTTCTGAATGGATATGAAAATCATCAGTTGAAACCAGTTATCTCTAATTCATGACGGGATTTATTCTGTCCATCTCCCTTTCCATACATTTAACTTCTTTCTCTGTCTGTAAGAAACCTGGTTCCCATTATCTTCAATCTGTTTACCTGCTTGTTAAACTTCTCCCCCAACATCTGTGACCAAATTGACTGCGAGCCTGTATTCTCTCCCCTAGGCGAACTGACCAGCACCTCAGCAGCACTCAGGATAACAAGGCTACTTCTGCTGTAACCAAAATAAGTTTAGAAGGATACGGGGCTGGGGATTTAGCTCAGCGGCATACGCGCCTGCCTTGCAAGCAGGCAGTCGTGAGTTCGATCCCCGGTACCGATAAAAAGGAAAAAAACAAACAAAAAAATACTTTGATGATAGTTTACTCTTTGGAAAGAAACTGCGTACATAGAAGGCACATGGAGAATGGGGGTTCACTTTTTGCTAGATATCCTTTTGTACCATGAGGAGTTTTTTTTTACAACACCTTTTGCTTTTCTGCCTGAACAGAAAAGGAAAATCAATGTACAGTGTAGTTAAGTTCAGTATGTTTATTCTTTCAGTGCCTGTCTACTCAGCTGATCTCTTTCAGATTCTTTGGAAGAGAATTTGGAGCCTTTGTATTTTTCTTAAGTGTATTTGGTTCCTTTTTGCCTTTAGGAAACAACACTTGTTTCTACGGGAAGTGCTATTACTGCCGAGAAACAGAGCCAGCATGTGCCGACGGAGACACGATGGAAGGATCTGTCACACTTTGGCTTCCAGATGTATGGCCTCTGCAGAAGCACCGACACCCTTGGGGCAGAACTTACCGAGAAGGCAAACTGGCCAGGTAAGTGCTCCTCTGAGCTATGGCTTAATTCTCCCTTTGCTTGGCCAGGTACCATCCATAATAGGAGCTAGCTATGCTTTCCAAGAGGTTAAAAAAAAACCCTGCAGGATCAGGGAAGACCTACTAAGTGAGGACTCTTTGTTTTTAGCAATGCTGTTGTGTTAGCTTTCTAGCACTGTGAAAAATACCTGAGGCACATCAGTTTAAAAAGAGGAAAGATTTATTTCAGCTCACAACCTCAAAAATTTCAGTTTATGGTTGTTTGGTGACAATTGCTTTAAGCCTGTGGTAGCACAGTATATCCTGGCAGAAGCACAATGGTAGAGGAGGCTGCCAGGCAGCAAAAAGAAGATGAAGCCAGGATCTCCTATCTCTTTAAGGATACAGTCCCAGTGGTCTAACTTTCTTTCACTAGGCCTCACTTCCTAAAGGTTCCACCATCTCCCAGTAGCAGTGTGTGTTGGCAACCCAGACTTGCCTGTAGGGAGAATACTTAAGATCCAAACCCTAACTTGTGTCCATCTCAGTATACAGGAAACATTCAGTCCATTCCTAAGAGTCCTCAAAGTTTTAACTTCTAGCACTGCTGAAAAGTCTTAAGTCAAAAGTCTGACAGTCATAATAGATTTTAAGCCCTCAAAAAAAAAAAAAATTGGGGGCTGGGGATTTAGCTCAGCGGCATAAGCGCCTGCCTTGCAAGCAGGCAGTCGTGAGTTCGATCCTTGGTACCGATAAAAAGGAAAAAGACAAAAAAAAAAAAAAAAAAAAAAAAAAATTAAAACAACAAAGCCAGGCATGGGCACAAATTCCTATAATCCCAGCACTCAGAAGACTGAGGCAGGAGGGTTGCTGCAAATTTGAGGCCAGCCTGAACTTCATAATGAGGTGCTGTCCTCCACCCCCAAAAAAGAGAAAAAAATAGAACAAGTGTCATGCTTCTAAGATACAATAAACAGAATAAAGATAACTTAGTCCAAAAGGGAGGACTAGGACAATAGCAAGGAGAAATTGGACCAAAACAAGACAATCTCACTGACTTTAAATCCTTTCACTTCCACGTCCATTGTCTGGGGAACACAGGAATTGTATGAGGGTTCCAGAGGGCTTGGGCTGCTATGGCTTTGCTTATCCAGCCCACACAGTCTCTCTTTTGGGCTCCCTTCTTGGTCCCTGCAGCTTTCCTTAGCAGCCTTCCTATTCCTAGCATCAGTACTTGCTGTGATGTCCACTGCAGCTTCAGCCTCACTCTCAGCCTTTCAAGGGCTACTTGTAAAGGCTGCAGTTCTGCCACGTACTGCCTGTACCCCGTGCTTTCCTTTGAAATTCAGTCATACCTCGGTGACCTCACAACTCTTGTGTTCTACATGCCTGGAAAATAAGCATCACATCAGTGACACCGAAGTCTGCCGCTGAAACAGTAGCCAGCCTTCCTGGACCACAGCTGTAGTGAGTGGCCTCTGGGTACCTTGATGGCTGAACGTGAGAGAAGCGGATCCTAGAGAAATGATTTGCTAAGTCTTTTTCAGAGAGGCTCTCTTCTCAAGTCAAGGCTTGTACTTCTATACCCTTGAATCTGTAATGGGTGGGGTCTTACTGATTCCTGAGATATTCTCAAGGTATCTTTCCTATTATATTGGAGCAAAGTACCAAGCTTGCTTTATTTATTTTATTTTATTTTTTTTGTGGTGCTGGGGATTGAACTGAGGAACTTGTGCAATGCAAAGCAAGAGCTCTGGGGCTAGGGATTTAGCTCAGTGGCATAACTGCCTGCCTTGGAAGCAGGCAGTCATGAGTTCGATCCCCGGTACCGATAAAAAAAAAAAAAAAAAGAAAGAAAAAGGCAGGAAAAAAAAAAGGCACTAAACAAAGCAAGAGCTCTACTACTGTGCCACATTCTCAGCCTCAGGCTTATTTTTAGTGGTACTAATTTCTTCAGCATTTCATCCTCCTTGGCCTGAGTTTTATACATGCTTCTTTTCTGGTCACACTGCAAGTTTTTCAAATCTTTCTGCTCTGCTCTTTCCTCCCATTTCTTTCTTTCTTTTTTTTTTTTTTTTTTTTTTTTTGTCTTTTTCTTTTTTATCGGTACCGGGGATTGAACTCACGACTGCCTGCGTGCAAGGCAGGTGCTTATGCCGCTGAGCTAAATCTCCAGCCCCTTTCCTCCCATTTCTAAAAGTGACAGTCAAAAACCTTCTCCTGCCTGAGTTCTGTGATGTCTAGAAATTTTCCTTGTTGGATAAACTGGTCTACCACATTTAAATTCGGCCTTCTATAGAGTTTCAGGGCATGGACAAAGTGTAGACAAATTTTTTGCCGGAGTGTAACACAGATATCCTCTCGTGTAATTCCCAATAGAGACTTCATTTCCATATGAACCCTTAGTAGCAGTCTTTGCCGTGTGCATTTTGTGGTCTTCTAAATTTCTACCAGAATTGCTCGTTGGTCTTGCTTCAGGTATTCTAGGCTCTCAAGTCTGCTTCTCCAAGCTTTTCCAAACTTCTGCAGAGCAGTTCCAAAGGTTTCTGAACCACTTTATAAGAGACAATTTTCTGTTAGTCAGCTTTCCATCACTGTGACAGAATCCCTGAGACAAACAGCTTAAGAGGAAGAAAGATTTATTTCTGGTTCATAGTTTCAGAGGACTCAGTCATAATTGATGGCTCCGTTGCTTTTGAGTGTGTGGTGAGGCAGAATGTTATGGTGCGAAGTGCGTTGTAAAATAAGGTTGCTCACCTCATGGATTCTGGGATGCAAAGTGATAGAGGGGTTGGGGTCCCAGTCTTTCTTTAAGGGCACACTCCCAGTGACTTTCTTCCACCTGGTCCTGCCTCCTAAAGCTCGATCACACCTTCAGCACATGGCCTTTGGAGGATATTGAAGATTCAACTCGTAGCAGCAAGCTACATTTCTGCCTCTCAGTACCTCTCACGATGTTGCTTCCCTCTAGGTGGGAGTATGATGAGAGCTACTGTGATGCCGTGAAAAAAACATCTCCGTATGACTCAGGCCCGCGCCTCTTGGACATCATTGACACCTCTGTCTTTGATTACCTAATTGGCAATGCTGACCGCCATCATTATGAGAGCTTTCAAGATGATGAAGGTGCTAGTATGCTCATCCTTCTCGATAATGCCAAAAGGTAAGGCCAGCAGGACTGTCTTTTTTCACTATTTATAATAGATGGATCTTTTCTGGTGTACCCGTTAATCAGCTCCTCATTGTTATAACATAATGCCTGAGATAAACAATATAAAAAGGGAGAAAGATTTATTTTGACTCACTATTTCAGAGATTTCAGTCCATGTTTAGTTGGCTCCATTGTTGTTGGGCCTGTGGTGAGCTGGAACATCCTGGTGGAGAGCACATGTCAGAGAACAGCTGCTCCCCTCATGGCAGCTAACAAACACTGAGAGGAGGGGGTAGGATTCCAGGTTTCCCTCAAGGGAAGCTCCAGTGCTCAGCTTCCTTCCTAGGTCCCACCACCTCCCACCAGCACTGTGAAGTCAGCCAGGCCTTGAGCGGATGAGCCTTTGAGATACATTTCAGATCTGAACTAGAGCAGGTGTCCCGGAAACATCCAGAACACAGCTGATTGGAATGTGCCCTTCTTTTTTCCCCTTAGGCCCTTTGCTGTTGTCACTCATCCTTTTTTGCCCCTAAGGGATTTCAGGACTTTTAAAAAGTGGTCCCCTTCACAGATAGCTGGAATTTGTCACTACCTCTTTCTTGGCTATGATATTTACAGAGCATCAAATCTGAGAAATACAGACTAAATAGTAGATGAACTTTATTTCCTGTTAAACTCATCTGTCCAGAGGTTCATGCAACTTAAAATTTAATCCTATGAAATGATAGAATGTTCTTGCTGTTTTTGTGGCAGTCTAAGCTGAGACTTTTGCTATTATGAAATGAGCTATTGCATAGTGATTATATATTAAATAAAATTATTTTGTCTTAAAAAAGATAAGTTTATTTTATGTATTAATATTATCCTTATTTTTTAGGCCTAAGCTATTTGGAGATCACATTGTATTTCTACTTTGCAGTCTCCATGGTGACCAGTTTAGTGCCATACTTTTAGTTGAACTTAAATAGAATTTGTTAAAATAGAATGCTTAGTTGAAGCCTAGAATTGTCCAAGCAGTAAGTCTCTACTGTTAATATTGAGTGCTGGGAAGTAGCTGAGGCACAGCTCCTTAGTAAAGAATGCTTGGGTAAGGGGCTAGGGATTTAGCTCAGCGGCATAAGTGCCTGCTTTGCAAGCAGGCAGTCGTGAGTTCGAAAAAGACAAAAAAAAAAAAAAAAAAAAAGAATGCTTGGGTAGCATTAGGAAAGATGCCACCATCTCATATTGAGCAACAGGCACCTTGTACTCTGCAAAACATGACTTCGACAGAAAGCGGGTCAGCAAACATTACCGCTCCCTCTGACTCATCACAGCAAAGTAGCTAGTGGCCAGGACTATGTCTGTTCCTGAAAAACTTTATCTTTGCTTGTAAAAATGATCATTTTGTTTAAGAGATCTTATAAATTCTGATACACATAACATTTGGTACATATCAAATTTGTTGGTTAGTCTGTTCCAGCTGCTATAACAAAATACCTTAGACCAAGCAATTTGTAAACAGCGCATATTTGTTGCTTAGAGTTCTGGAGACCAGGAAGTCCAAGATCAAGATGCTGGTAGATTCAGTGTCTGGTGAGGGTCCATTCCTCATCGATGTGTGTCCTTACACGGTAGGAGAGATCAACACGCTTTTTAAGGACGTGACTGCTGATCATGAGCTTTCCACTAATCACCTCCCAAAGCCTCCCCCACACACACACCTCTTACCTGGGGGGTTATTTAGAGCATGAAAGTTGTGGGAGGGTTGGGACACACTCATACTGTACCAGCTTTTATTATCAGAGGATTTGCACTGTACTAAGGACTTATAGACTCTCCAGCCGTTGAGAGCTTCCTGGAAAAGAGTAAAAGTTGACAGTTTTTGTAGACTCATATCTATTTCTCTAACTCTGAATTAGCTAGTGACACTTTCATATCTGTCTGCTTTGAATTGTTGTTTTCTGAGCCCCTGTGACCAGTTTTTCCAGTTTGACCAGTTTTTCCAGTTTGAAGCTGTCAGTGTGATTTTTTTTTTTTTTTTTTTTTTTGTGGAGAAGAGGATTTTGGAGTAAGATAGATAATGGCCATCTGCTTGTTTGGGACATACATATCCTTATTTTTCTCCCAAACTTTTTTTTTTTCTTTTTTTAAATTTTTTTAACTTTTTATCGATGTCAGGGATCGAACTCACAACTGCCTGCTTGCAAGACAGGTGCTTATGCCGCAAAGCTAAATCCCCAGCCCCCTTTCTCCCAAACTTTTCAAGTTTACTGGTTTTTCTGTCCTCCTTTTGGTCTGTACATTCCACACTGTTACCATAGTTATGCTCCAGCACCTTACAGTATCTTGGAAGGGAAAAGACTCCTCACAAATGAGGTTACTTGTGTTTGATACGTCAGCACAGGCTATTAGAGATCCTATGTTTAATTGGTCATGTCCTGCTTATTTTTAACGGATTGGAGCTGTTCACACATTAAATTACCTAGGGTCACTTACAGAATTTGGGTTTCTTAAAGAATTTGCTGTTTCTTTGATGCTAAGCAGAGAGCTGGTACTTCTTTCTAATTCACTACGTTTTCATTTAATTTTCAGCTTTGGGAACCCCTCGCTGGATGAGAGAAGCATTCTTGCCCCTCTCTATCAGTGCTGCATGTAAGTTATGCACAGCCAATACATGTACATGCAATGTTTTCCTTTTTAGGCTCAGGTAACTGTACACCCATTTCCTGGGCCTTCAGACTTCCTGGAGGCAGCCTGGGGTGCCTAGTGAGTTCATGGCCAGCATAGAGTAACATAGAAAGACTGTCTCAGAAAACAAACACGCACCAGCACTTGAGATGCTGAGGCAGGAAGATAACAGATTTGAGCCAAGTCTGGGCAAGTTAGCAATTTATCAAGACCCTGTCTTAAAATAGTAAATCAAGGGCTAAGGGTATAGCTCGGTGTGAAGGCCCTGAGTTTAGTCTTCAGTACAGGGGGAAAAGGTTTGTGGTCTTCTGTAGTAAAACATATGTATGCTTGACTTAATGTCAGAGTATAGTCAACCCTCTCTTGTGTTCCCTACATCCCTGCAAAAAGAAAACTCAAGAACGCACTAATCTTCTAAAAAAAACTCCTGCATCACTACATCTGGTTTACCTTGTGATTTTAAATCCTTGCATCACATAAAATCTGGGATTTGCATATCTTAGTTTGAAGTTGTCTAAACTAAAAGTAACTTTTTCACAAATGTCTATTTAATAATTGATTCTTTTTTTTTTTTTGTCTTTTTCATTTTTATCGGTACCGGGGATCGAACTCACGACCGCCTGCTTGCAAGGCAGGTGCTTATGCCGCTGAGCTAAACCCCCAGCCCCTAATAATTGATTCTTAAGAAATTCTGTGTTAAGCTAAGCATGGCAAAGCGTGCCTGTGATCCCAGCAGGCATGAGGACGAAGCAAGAAGATTTCGGGTTTGAGACCAGCCTGGTCTACAAAGTGAGTTCAAGCCAGCCCGGGCATTATAGCAAGCCCTTGTCTCAGAAACAAAAAGCAAAATCTGTATTTGAGAACGAAGAAAGAAAAAAATAATTCAAGAAAATGAGAGTTGGTGATACAGCTCAGTGGCACAGTGCCTACCTGGCAAACACAAGGTCCCGCATTTGATTCCTGGTACAAAAAAGAGAGAGAGGAGCTCGGAAGGAGAGAGAGGGAAAGAAAAGAAAGGAAAGGAAAAAAGAAAGAAAAGAAAAGAAAATGAGATAAAACTGGGCCCTTCAGAGTTCCTTTTCAGAGCAGCATTCCTGGTCTGATTTTAAAGCATGCACGTGAAGAATCAGCTGGGATTCACCTTGCTTGGGCAGCACAGAAAAGCAGGCCCAGCAACACCACTCAACACTAGGCAACTTGGGGCTGGGGATTTAGCTCAGCGGCATAGAGCACCTGCCTTGCAAGCAGGTGGTCATGAGTTCAATCCCCAGTACCGATAAAAATGAAAAAGACAAAAAAAAAAAACCACTAGGCAACTCTCCAAGGCACATTCATAGCATGGGAGACTGCCCCTTAGAGCCCCTGGTCTCCCCGTCCCTTCTTTCTTTCTTTTTAATTTTAAAGAGAAAAAAATTTATTTTCAAAATTAAACAGTAAGAGGATAACAGTGGTTAATACATTGCATATTGTTATCTTTAGTTAACTCAGAGTACACAAATCAGCATTTAGTTGTCCAAACAATATTAGCACAAACCTTTCATTTCAATGCATAGTATAACTATCCTATTTTCTTTATATATATAAAATACATATATTTTATATTATATATATATATATATATATATATATATATATATATACTTTTTTGCTTTTCCCTTACTTTTTTAATCCATTCCACTATCCCAGTTTCTCTTTCCTTTTGAAGTTTCTTCCCATTTCACATTATCTGTTGTGCATTTTGGGTCTTATTTATTCTTTCAGCTTCTCACACAAGCGAGACAATATAATGTTTACACATGTGTGTCTGCTTTATTTCACTTAGGATAGGGTCTCTAGTTGCATTCATTTACCTATAAAAATCTCTAGTTAATGCTTCTTTATGGCAGAGTAGTACTCCGTTGCATAAAAATATTACATCTTTTTTATCCATTCTTTGGTTGATGGGCATTTGGGTTATTTTTAAGATTAGCTATTACAAATTGTGCTGCTATAAACATGGGTGCACATATGTCACTGTAGTACAATGTTTTTAATTCTTCTGAGAAGATACCCAGAGGGAATAGCTGGGTCAAATGGGACATCCAATCCCAATTTTTTGAGGAATCACCACACTGATTTCCAGAGTGGTTGCACCAGTCTGCATTAACAACAACAATGGAGAAGGTTACCTTTTTCCCTACAGCCCCTCCAGCATTTATTATTATGTTCATAATAGCCATTCTGAGGTGGAATCTTAGTATTGTTTTTTAATTTGGGGGCTTTGTTTTGTTTTGTCGTTTGTTTTGAGACAGGGTCTCGTGATGTGGCCCAGGCTGCTTCGAGCTCAGAACAATCATCCTGGTTTAGCCTCCCCAGTGCACACACAATCACACCCAGCTCTCAGTGTTGTTTTAATGTGTTTTAAGGTAACCTATGTATGATGTTGAACATTTTTTATGTATTTATTTGCCATTTGTATTTCTTCATCTGAGAACTGTGTATTTATCTCAGATGCCCATTTTTGGGTTGAGTCTTTAAATTTAGGAGATTCGTTTTTTTGTTTTTTTTTTTTTTTAGTTCTCTACATGTTCTTGATAGTAATCCTTTGAGGAACAGCTGTCAGACACTTTCTCCCATGTGGGTTGTCTCTTCACTGTGTTGGTGGTTTCTCTTGCTGTGTAAAAGCCTTTTAATACGATGATGAGAGCCAAGTTGTTGACTCATTGCAGTACTTCCTGTTCAATCAGGGTTTTATTTATAAAGTCTTTGTCTACAACACTGTCCTCAGTACTGCCAAAAAAATTTTTTTAAACTTTGGTCTGCCAAGCAAGTTTTGAACTCCATTTGATAGTGAGAGCTTTTATGTAACTTGTACTAAAACTTTGTCTTCCAGCATTCGGGTTTCCACTTGGAACAGACTAAACTACCTAAAGAACGGAGTGCTGAAGTCTGCCTTAAAATCTGCCATGGCCCATGACCCCATCTCCCCCGTGCTCTCAGATCCTCACCTGGACGCTGTGGACCAGCGGCTGCTGAGTGTCCTGGCTACCGTGAAGCAGTGCACTGATCAGTTTGGGATGGACACTGTGCTAGTGGAAGACAGGATGCCTCTCTCCCACTTGTAATTCTCAACACAAAATAAGTGAAACTTATTTTTACAAGATACAGAAACAGCACAATCAATTCCAGATGGTATCAGATGGCTTTGGAAGTTGCCAGCAGCAAATTTTGGTAGAGGACAGGATGGCCTTGGGTGTCTTTGGGGTTTTGTATCTTAGAAACTAAAGCAGACATATTTCAGAACTCGAGATGTTCCTGCAGAACCACTTTCTGAGTTCCTCAGTAGTGGCTCATTTTAGCAATGGGGATTAGCATTTTTGGTCAGTTTTGTCTCCCATGCCAAAGGACAAACAGGTGTGACATTCAGATAGGTGAAAGCTGCACTTGCTTCCAGACTATTTTGAGGTGAACTTTACAGTCCTTTCTCCACACTTGTGGATTTTGTGGAAACATTTTACAATTTCTTGTCTTTTTTTTTTTTTTTTTTTTTAAACCAGGACTACTCAAATTGGAAAGTTTACTGCTACCTACAGAGTAGCAGCGAATAAAACCTTGCATTCTGTTGAGCCAAAATAGAATGCTCTGTTGGAGAGGGATATGTTTGTAAGATAGAATTGGTGGGAAGGGCAAAAAGCAGGAGATACTCCAGCTAGTGAGCAACTGCGTTGTGTGGTTTGGTGATCTTAGAGGAGGGAAGAAGGGAGACACTGAGTGGAGCCTCTGGGAGATACTGAACAGAAAGAAAGCTGGCTGCCCTGTGCTTAGGTTCCAAAGTATCTAAAAGGCATGTAAGTAAAATCTGTTCTCACAGCTCTGTCCAAATTAACAGAAACATTGTCTCTAGAGAAAATATCTTTACAACCCAAGCATGATTCTCTTACTGAGACTAATGTCCCCTTTTGCTTAAAGCTGTCACATCCTTTCTAAATTAACAAAGCAAACTGAAATAATACCGTGAATAAGAGTCAGGTTGCCTGTGATCCCTGCTGTCCTCATTTTTCTTCTGAGATGAATTCCCACTTGGGGTTCTAAGATACTGGTCATTAAAGATGCTGTTCCTAGGAGATCAGCGACTCTGTTTTTGCCTTTCTTACAAGGAAAGGCAGTTATGCCACCTTGTGTGCACCTTGCTGGTGGATAAACTGAGTTTATGATGAGCCATTCAGAAGACTAGAATCCAAGATACTGAGCCTTCTACACCTTGAAGTTAAGGGGGTGGCCACAAGGAGCCATAAGATTTTGATTTATGTCAAATCCTAATTTCATCACTTAGTCTCATTTGGAGTTCTTCCATCTCCTCTTAATACTCCCAAATTCGTGTTGCTAAAACATAGTTTTAGTATCATGTTTTGGCAAAATGATCCTAACATGTAAGCAGCTGCAGGATATTACAGGCCTGGGCTGCCTGCTCACTTGTACACTCAGAGCTGTGTGTGTCCCTCCTGCGTCTCGTCCAGTAGCTATTTCAGCTTTGTACTTCTGTCAGAAAAAATATACTTACACGATGTGGTTGAGCAAATTTAATGTCAGGGACTCTTGACCACCACCCTTTCAAAAACAGCTTTCCAATTTGTGCCCCAATTTTCTGGCACTGAAAAATAACTGAGTAACTTGTAACTACTTTAAAATAGCATGAAATTAGGAAACCATTGTAATTTTTATAGACATTTTGTTGGTGGACATAGGAGTGACTGTGAAAGATGTCCTAGCCTGGCAGGGTGGGGTACACCTGTAATGCCAGCATTTGGGAAGCTGTGGCAGGAGAGTTCACTGTGAGTTTGGTGACACCCTGTCACAGAGACCAAAAGAAAAAAAAAAGGCTCCTGAATTTAAGAAGCAGATACTAGCACAAAACACTGAAACAGTGTTAAAAGAAGGCATTGGTTGCGATTTTTAAGGCCACTTGCTATGTGTGTTCAGGGAAATTCACAGTTCAGCTTGAGAATACCTTGGTTTAGTGCTTCCCCAAAACTGGGAACCCGCTGGCAGGGGGCAGTAGAAAGGGCATCAGTCAGTCCTGGGTTAGCCACGGTGCCTTTGTGCAGCACCGGGAAATGAGGAAGAGCTGTCCGGACTGGGAACTTCAGGAAGGCTGAAGACGGTGAGCTGCGAGGGGAGAAACAGGAAGGAGACCTGCTGGGAAAACTTCATCCTTGCTTCAAAGCATTTGCAAAAATGTGTCATTCCATTCTTTTCCTTATTACTTTCAAACTAAGAAACACTAAGTTTTGTGTGAAAAAAAGAGATGCTTTTTAAAAAACGATTTGTAATGCTGTCCTCTTCTTAGTTTTGATTGTTAAACTCTGGCTCAGGCTGCTACAACCAAGTCATTGGAGGGGGTTTGGTTAGTTCTAAGTTGGGGCTGACAGCTGAACACGTAGATGTGGATACATTTTAATACTAAAAAAGAAGAAAAATCAGAGGTGATTGCCATTTGCTGTTCTTCCATGTCTTCAAAATGTGTATTTTGAAGTTTAAATGTAGAATATTGAGTATAGAAGTTTTATTTTAAAACTGTTCTTTAATGAGGCTACATTGTGGTTGGGAGAAGAGTATATATAATTTTCTGTGCTGAACAAATTAATATGATGTAATTTGCTCAGAGTGTTGTTCAATATATTTTAAGACATTTCTCCCTGTTTGCACTCAGGGTTAGTATGTCAAATGAAATTTAGGAAGAAAATGGAGAAATTCAGGTATATTTATTTGCACAGTATTTTGGAAGAATTGAATCCTGTACATGGCAGTTTTTCAATGTCACCTGGGTGCAGCATTGTCTTCCAAAGGAATCTGTCTTGTCTTTAACACAAACCAACTCTGGACTCCTCATCCCATACCCGTCCTCCTCAGCCTCCCTGCTCAGCCTGCCTGTCTCCTCTCGGGCGGTAGAGCAGCCTCGTGGGGAGCTGTCCTGACAGTTCCTCTGTGAGCACGGGCGAAGCTGTACATCCTGACAAAGGTGGCTGTGTATTAAGCTAAGGAAAATGTATTTATTTTGACACAAGGAAACACAATGCAGAGGTACTTGAAGCTGTTAAAAGTTCTCTTTGCAGTCTCTGTGAGTGCACGCTATGTGACGTAAAGGCTCTGGCGAGCCAGGTGGGCCTGAACCTGACTCCGGATACCTGGCCTCGGGGAGGCCAGCTGGGCCCCTTTCCCTCCTGAAGTCTGGATGGTGACTAGGGCCTGGGTACCATACTGTCACAGATATTTTGAAACCAAGGTGTTCCTCACAAATGAAAAGTGAGGAAACTGGGAATAACTTACTCGGGAGTTAATTTATTTGCTTTAAGGGAGGTATGGGAATCACCACCCCTTGTTTGATTGCCAAGGATTTCCTCTCAGAGCTGTTGCACAAATAGAGGTTCTTGGTAAGAGACTGAATAAGAGACACACCCCAATTTCTAGTTTGTTCTTTGGGTTCCGATTCTGAAAAACAAAAAATAAAGATTTTAATAAACATGGAGATACAATCTTTGTCTATTCATCTTTCTCCTCCCCTTTAGGATTTTTCTAGTATTTTCTATTCCATTTCCTACCTGTTTTATAGGGGACAGAAGAAGGTTACATCTTTTGTTCCCCCATAAACATACACAGAGGTTTGCGTCGCAGTATCTGAAAGGCAGGCCCTAAGTTACCTCACCTGTCTTCAGCAGGTCCATCCAAGGCCTCGGCTGTGCCAGAGCTTTCCGGGGGGTCATTCTTTGTTGCATTTGTATATTAACAGTTAACTTCATGCAGCTTCTTAAAGCTAAAGAATTACCAATCTGGGTTTTTTTTGTTTGTTTGACTTTGAGATAGGGTCTCCTTATGCAGTTCAGGCTGGCCTTGAACTCACTTTGTAACCCAGGTTGGCCTCAAACTCACAACATTCCTCCTGCCTCAGCCTCCTGAGTGCTGGGATTACAGGTGTGTGCCACCATACTCAGCCAAGAAATACCAATCTTGTTGGTATAGTACTATACAATATAGGCAGGAAGAGAAGGCTGGATGCCCTGATTAGAATTCTTAGGACATCTGTGAAGTAGAAATCTAGCACTCCTTAGACAACGAAGCAGAGTTCTTAACATTTTTACTTGATTTGTGGAATATTTACCAGTTTTTGTCATTTGTACCTGAATACACGGAGGATGAAACATACGTGTTTCTCCCTGACTCACCACATAAATTCTTCTGAGGATTCACTAGTTTTTGTTTGTGTGTTTGGTTTTTTACAGAGAAACTAAAATTAGCCAATCAAAGCATCAGTGAAAGTGACACAGAACCCCGAAACACGATAGTAAGAAATCAGTAATTGCTACCATAATGTCTCTCCCTCAAAATCACTGCCCATGCCATCAGACGTGACAAAACCAAACAAAACACAATAAAACCAATCAAAACAAAACAGGATAAATCAATAAAATGGAGCAAAACAACAATACTGGATTTCAAAACAAGACAGAAGGAAATCCCCCCCCCCATAGTTGCTTTAATGCATACTGTTATCCTCTATGCGCAGACTCTCAGCTTTAGGCCTGCAAAGTCAAATAATACAAGCATTAAGTTGTTTTTGCACCTCAGTTGCTATCTGCTCAGCCTGTGTACCTGAATCAGGTGGCTGCCTGTTAGAGGGAGAGGCTCAGCTCTTACCCGCAGCCCACAGCCACTGTGCTGAGCACTTCTTGTTTCTCCTCCCGGCCCACAGCTCTCACTTGCTTTTAAGCGTATCAGATTGTTAGTACTTAAAAAGTGTAGCTGAGCGAAGGAGGTGTGAGGTTCTGTTCCTGAGTAATGTTACACCACAGTGTGTACCTACAAAACTGGTTTTTGGCAGTCATTTTATGAATTAGTGATCATAACTGGCTTTCCATTGGTTGGTTCTGTAAGGTAAAAGTATAAACCTCAAGGAATAATGGGATCAAGTCACAGTATGTGAGGTATTTGGTCTTCAGTGGACTTTTGGGTGTTGTGTGATCTGTTACAGAGGTGGCAATGTGACCATCTCTTCCCTCAGACAGCCTCTCAGTCCTGGGAGAGAACTTCTCAGGAGGTACCAGATGCTTCAGGAAAAACTTAAAGCACTCACCTTGGAGATAAGGCAAACATCCAGATGTAATCAGGGTTGCGTGTAGAACCTGCTTCCACACATACGTGCAAAGCCATGTGCTTAGGAGATGCAGAGCCTCCGGGCATGTACAGTTTTCAGTGTGTGGTGATCTCAGATCACCAGAAACACCCTTGCGCACTTTCCCGTGTTCTCAATCCTGGAGGAGCCCTGCCTCTTGACGATCTCTGTCCCGTGATGCCTCAGTGCTGTGCACCATGGATGCTAAACAGGCAAATACACAAGCTATGAAGTTTTCATACTTTCAGAGTGTATTTTTTACATTGCTGGGTGATTTAAGATAGAGACTTGATTTGGACCCAATGTTTGTTTATACAGCAGATGGTTCTGCCTGCCTTCAGTGGGATAGAGAAGGTGTCTTTTGTAAAGCTCATTCAAATGACCTCAGTAAAAGTGTTGTGTGCCCATTTTCTCTTAGATCTTGCTAAGATGAATATTTTGATTCAGGTCTGGAGCCTGAAATTCTGCATTTCTGGCAAACTCATTGGTCCTTGGGCCACTCTAATGAGGAAAGTAGCTGTCTGTAGTTTTCACGACGGCCTCTAGGTGTCCGCCTCGTCCGTGAAGTCTTAGTCCTGGAGCTCATAGCCATTAATTTTCAAGCCCTGTGAGTGAATTAGAGGCGATTTCCCGAAATACCCAAGAGGTTACTTAGAAACTAGTATTTTGCTTTGCTGTTTTCCCGTGGGCTGACTCTTTGTGAAAAAAAAGTATTTTTTAGGGAAAAAAGTCTTGAAATCAATTTGATCCAACAACTTGCCAGCTACCTACTTACCATAAATTGTAATTCTAAACCAAAATGTCTTTACAAGTAAAATTATATATATATATATATATATATATATATATATATATATATATCTGTATATATATATATCTGTATATATACACACACTTAAACAGTCTTTAAAGACTTGGATTGTTTTTGTAACGTATTATCTCTAACTCTGGAGGTGGTGCTGGGGTTAAACCTGGGGCCCCAAGCATGCCAAGCAGATGCTGCACCACTGAGCTACAGCACATCCCTGTTACTGGTATGTGTATCACCATAAATTCCCCAATAAGTCCAGTACTAACTCATCCAAACCTCCTCCAATAGGCTATTTTATATAGTATCTAAACATATATAAAAATAAAAGTTAACATGAGTGGAGTGTGATGCACTCAGGTCATTTAATCCTTACAAGCTGACTGTTCAGTAGGTGGGGAAATTGAGGCATATGCAATTGGTAATACTCAAAGTCTGCCAAACAAAATGACAGACCCATTCTGTTATTATGCTAAACTGCCGTTTAGGCTCAATAAAATTTGTTGAGTGGGTTAATGTTCTTAATTTTCAGACAAGCACATGGCTGTGACCTCTGTTGAGATCATCTGAACGAAACTTGAGTTTACAAAAAACATCGCCCCCAACCCACTGAAGGCAGGCACAAGCATCGCTGTGTGAACAATCTTTGGGCCCAAATCAAGTCTCAAATCACCCAGCAATGTAAAAAATACACTCTGAAAGAATGAGTATTTCATAGCTGTGTATTTGCCTGAGTTCCTTTGTGTTGGCTTTCTGTTGCTTTGAGATAATTATAAAAAGTGTTTTTGTTCCACAGGTTTGGAAGTTCCCACCGTGATCAGATGGACCTATTGTTTTGAGGCTGCTGGCAGCAGGTGGAGAGGGTATGGGATGTGGCACTCCATAGTGGGAGTGTGGGGTGGAGCAAAAACTGCTCACCCTGTAGCCAGGGAGCACAAAAGAAAAAGAGAACACGCGTCTGTGCTCTCGGTGGTGGCAGAGACCTCCTACCAGGCCTCACCTCTTAAGTTTTCACTGCCTCCCCATTAGCATGAAGCTGGTGGCTAAGCCTCTAACATGAGTCTTGGGGCTGGGGCAGACCGTGATGATCCAAGCCATAACACATGTGACTGCAGATAATGTGCTGGTGCCCTAGCAGCAGCACCATGGAAAGTTTGGGCCCATTTTTGACATCACCAGTCTAAAGTTGTATATAGACACATAATAATACTTTTCAGCTGAACTCTTTGTATTAACAAAGGTGCTTATTTGGTTTGGAGCCTTTTGGTTTTTTTATTTTTATTTTTTGGAAAATAAGTCCTTATGACTTGTTTTATTATACAAATTTTATAAGACCAAACTTTTTTTTTTTAAGGCAAAGTCTCACTATGTAGTTCAGGCTGGCATTAAGCTTTCAGCAGTCCTCCTGCTTCTGTCTGCTAAGTACTGGGATTACAAGTGTGCACCACCACAATCAAACTCAGAATGTCACACTTATCAGGCAGGCATCCTACCTACAGAGCTATATTCCTAGCCCGGTCTTGGAGCCTTTTGAATGAAAGGGAGGAGAAACTTGGTGAGCAGCTGAGGACAGAGGAGCCTTGGCCTTGAGTGTGATCTGCTGGAGTGAGCAGGGGAGGCAGTTTGCTGTCATACTCCTGAGGCGGGGTGTCAGGGTTCACCAGTCTGTCCTGAGAGCCGGAGCTCAGAAGACATTAATCAGCTCCCCTGGTCTTTCACCAACAGTTTCCAACTAGGACAAGATGGCTCATAGGTCACTGATTTTAGTGACCCTAAGGTGATTTTTGGAAAAACGCAGTAAGATTTTCTGAAATTGACTTCGTTCAACCTTGTTTCCCCGCTCTGTGTTAAGGAAGTCTGGGAAAGGGGCCCTCAAATCTCTTGCCAGTAGTATTAATGGGCTGCTTCTCACAAGCACTTGAAAGCTGCAAGCCACAGTACAGGAGACCTTATGATCTCATGACTATGGGGATTTACAAAACTCAGACCCGTCAGCTTCTTGCTTCCGGTGGAAGCCTGCAGGTTCCTTTCTGCTGTGTTTCATTTTGCTCTGCAGAGAGGCCCCTCAGTCGGAGGGGCCCGTGTGCACCTTGTTTTCAGGGCTGCTTCTCCCCTCAGCTAAGTCTCCTCCCAGCATAGTGCGCCTCACTGAAATGGTGTCCACAGCTTCCTCTAACAGGTTGGCAGGAAGCTGGCCTGCGGACCTGGGGCAGGATGCCGGCTGCCTTATTTGGTAAGCCTCAGATGTGCTGCCAGTGATAGCAGCATACCTGAGTGATTGACAGTGGTCATTTCAAGGCCTACATGTGTCACCTTCTTTGCAACGCCAAGCGCAGCAACCCAAAATAGACTGCTTCCTGGTGGGCGGTGAGGTGGGGGACGCGGACGTCTGCCTCGGGATGCTGTCCCAGCTCACAGCCGGAGTTTCTATTTCTCTCCGAGTAGCTCGCAGGCCAGTGGGCGGGCTGCAGCGGCCGGTCGCCATGGCGACACCAATCGCCAGCCCCGCCTGCCGCGCGGACGCCGGCCCCGCCCCCGCCAACCCGGGAGGCGGCGCAGCGGGCCTGGAGCCCGGGTCGCCGGCCATGCCTCGCCGCTGGCGGCGCGCGGTCGGGCTCAGCTTCCTGCTCCTCCTGCTGCTCGCGGGCGCGCCGGGGTGTCGGGGCGCCGAGAGGCTGTGGGAGGGGGCTGACGAGCCGGGCCCGGCCTGGGGCTGGCCGGGCCTCCAACGCGTGCGGGAGCAGCTGCGGGCAGCCGGCGCCCTGTCCAGGAGGTACTGGGCTCTCTTGAGCTGCCAGGTGTGGCCCGACGACTGTGAGGCGGATGGCGAGGCTGCGGCGGGCCGCCTGGGTAAGAGCCGCCCCTCCCGCCGCTCAGAGCAGCGCTGGTCGCCAGCCTCACTGTTCGGCCGGGCTCTGCCCGCGGCTGTGGCGGGGCAGCCTCAGCGGATCAGGAAGTGCTGGTGCTGACCTCAGCCCCACTGCTGCTTTGCCTCACACTGATGACCCTGAGGAGAGTTCGCTGTGGACAAGGCTGGTGATGGTCCCCCACGCCCAAGTTCCCTCTCTGTTGGTTACGAAGGCAGTCAATGCTTGAGTGCATGCAGTGGGCAGAGCCTGGGTTGGGATTTGGGACCTGAGTCCTGGGTTTGGTGCTGACACTGACAAGTGGAGCTGTCACATCACTAGTGAGCTAACAGAATCTCGGCTGTGCCTCATCGCTCCTCTTTTTCCAGGCCAGACCCTTATCCAGTTGGGCCAGAGGTCCCTGGATGCCCTGACCACGTGGTACTGCAGCTTCCGGGACTGCTGCAATGGTGGCGACTGCAGGATCTCCAACGACTTTTCAGGTTGGACCCTGCACATGTCCAGGGGCTAGAGATTGTGGGGAAGGGAGGCGACTGATTACAGGGAAATGGTGGGGGTGCAAGTGATATTCTGGCACTTTACCCAGCCTCCCAAGTGGGAATTGCCACAAGACTGCAGTCAGGTGTGCAGTTGTTTAAGGATTTCTGGGAAAACTACTAGGTGTTCCAAGACGAATAGTGGGAACAAGGTAACACCAACATCAGTGGTGTCATTCTCTCACCTGGGAACAGAAGCCAGAGTACCTCTGTCCTCTGAGCCCTCCATCTTGATTCTTTAAGCAGCACCATGATACTTGAAGCAGGGCTGAGAACCTCCCTTTTACCTTTAGCTTGATGACTCAGAACTTGTTGAAATTCATGGGAATTCCTTGAAGATGCCACACCCAGCTAAGACAGCTGGGAGGAAGGAACACTGCCAGAGAGAGGTATAGGTGCTGCAGGTTTTCCTCTGTTCCCCTGCTACCCCTCTCCATGTCCTCCTGCCCTCCCTGGGAGTGGGTCCAAGGAAAAAACTAAGAATGGTTAATATTGCCACATCTGGTGGTACCTGCTACAGTCCCAGCGCTCTGGGAGGCTGAGACAGGGTCCAACAGTGGTGGGGATTACCAATGAGGGAACTGACTAAAGATGATGGGATATGATCAGCCAGCAAAGGTCTGGGAAACGCAACACTTTTCCTGGTTTATCTTGGATCAGTGGGGATGCCTGAGTGGCTTCCCACCCTGAAAGGAGTAGATTTTTCCTGATTAATAAACTAGTTGATAATAACCACCACGTGGATTGCAGATTGCCCCTCAGTGTGCTGTGAATTCTTCCCCTCAAGTCCAGCTGCTTACAACTCACTGCTAAACAATTTTCCTCCTCTGTGCGTTTAAATTAGGTGAGGTGGCTTTATTTGCATATTGTAGTTCATTTGTATTTTAGCTCTCAGAGCACTTCAGTTTTAGAACCAAGTCTGATAAAAGACCAGTAGGTTAGTCCTTTGTGAAAGTTTCCTGTTTTCTCCAGTTTATTCTCTAGAGTCCCCTAATCCCAGTTCTTGTCATCTTCATAAATGAGACCCACCTTATATTTTTGGTCACTTAATTGAAAGAAGTGCAAGTGACAGTGTCTCTAGCACAGGATCCTCTAGCAGGCCACATACAGGTCAGGAAGTCTGAATTTAGATTTCTGCCAGCCTGTAGGGACCTAACAAGTTACCCCCAGCTGTAACATACTCACTGTCCATGAGGGCCTGAGTCTCCAGCTTGTTCTGGTGCAGTGGGTGTCAGAAATCCCTGTGCAAGTCCCTGACCTCACCTCTTAGGGGGCACACTTTGGGCAGTCCTTTCCAAGTCTCAGTTTCCTCTGCTTTAAATGCAAGTGATATGTGCTTTATGGAATTATTGTGAGGATTAAATACGAAACCACACAGTCCTCAGAACAAGGAAACAGCAGCAAACGCTGATTTTCCCTTCTCTGGAGTTTTGAAGCAGTGTGTGATCCTTGCTTGGTGGATTGTGACTTGTCAAGGTCCCAGAATCCACCCTACCTGGCTGGCTGGAATCGCCTGACCAGCTAGCTGATACTGAACTCGGAGTACTCAGTCCGTAGGCCAGCTGGCCGAGTGCCCTTCCTGTCTCCCAGTCCTATGCCCCCACAGCTGAGAGGTGGCAAGGCCCAGCATAGGCCCACAGTAACTGTTCTGTATGAGTCTGCTGGATTAAAATAGAAAGGAGAAGCTGGGTCTTGTCCACGAAACCTTTAAGGATCTGAAACTAAGGATGGGCGCTGCCTCGGAGAGTGGCCCTGGGTCCTTCCTGCTAACTCCTGGTGCGGCCCACTGTGGAATGTCTTCTTCAGAGGGTGATCTGTTACCTCTCTGAGTGCAGTGCTTTCCAAATTCTTCACACAATAGCTCTGGAATCCCTTCTGTTGCAAGGGCTGTCCTCTGGCCTCTTCTGAGGACAGACAGGATGAACAGCTGACGCCGGCAGCCTAGCAGGGAACACGCCTGTGTGTGCCTCTTGCTATGTCTCTCTCTCTGCCCTTAGGCCTAGATTCGGACCTGAGCGTGCGACTGCACGGCCAGCATCTGGCCCGAGAGCTGGTCTTCAGGACAGTGAGAGGCTACTTAGAGATGCCCCAACCAGACAAGGCCCTAGCACTCTCCTTCCACGGCTGGTCTGGCACGGGCAAGAACTTCGTGGCGCGAATGGTGGCTGAGAACCTGTATCGGGATGGGCTGAAGAGTGACTGTGTCAAGGTGTTCATCACCACGATCCATTTTCCACACTCGAAGTACGTGGACCTGTACAAGGTGAGGCCGCCAGTGCCGGGAGCCAGGCTGTCCGGCCAGGGCTGAGTGGGCCTCTGTGCCAACAGACATCCTGACATTGGCCCTTCCTTGCAAGGTGGTGTGGTCTGGAAAAGCCTCAGAGAAGGTGTGGCTGGGGCAGTGGACCCCTGGCCATGCACAAGGCACAGGGAGACCCCGGCAGCCAGGGAACAGACAGATGTTCCTGACATCTCCTCCAGATTCTGCCTCCTTTCCAGCCATAGGCTGGGAATCTCAAGTTCATTTTTGCATTGGAGGAAGAGTGAAATGTCACAGGAAATGTCAGACCAAGAAAAGCAAAACTGTACCACAATCTCCCCATACATTCTGGCGACCTTCCTTTGGTATCAGATTTTCCCAGGGGTGTTTCATACCATTCTCATTTTATTCGACAGAAAGTTGCCAAGTGCTGCTTACGGGTGTGTGCAAGAGTGCATGTGCACGCATGCGTGTGCGTGCGCACGTGTGTGTGTGTGTGTGTGTGTGTGTGTTGCTGGGGATAAAACCCAGCACCTCCAGCATGCTGGGCAGGTGCTCTGCTCCCAAGCTGCACCCCCACCCATGGTTTTTCTTAAGAGGCTTATTGTATCATGATTCTCTGTGTCCCATAATGGCTTGTTTTATGCCACTAGTGGATGGATGGACACAAAGATCCTTTGCTTTTTCCAGCTTTTTTCCCATTTAGACATACAGTATTGAAAATTAGCATACTCCCATCACAGCAAAACTGCCCCATCTTTGGCTTTTGGTTCTAATATCCAAAGAGTGTTAACTTAGGGAGATTACGTGAGCCTCTGAGGGCAGCGATTGCCCGAGTCACCAGGCAGTGTAGCATGGCTTTGGACGGTTGTGAGCCCCAGCTGGACTAAAGGCAGGCAGCTGATCAGCTGGGGCTTCTCTAGGAAAAACTGTCTAGCTTTGCCTATGCTAAAACTGTAGATTCCAGCTTCTCCACTGTGAAAGCTGATGCACTCTCATACCCATATTCTTAGATGACTGGGGCTGAAGTCAAACTCTAGCAAGGCCAGCAAAGGGTGAGGAATTGACCCCACATAATATATTCCTTGTCCACAAAGAAGCCTCTTCACACAAATTCTTCAAATTAAAGTATCAAATGAATAAAATGCCTTTAGATGTAAAAAGAAGAAGCCTCTTGTTAATTGAGTTTTATTTTTGTTTTGGGTGGTTTATGGTTTGCTTTTTGAGATGGGGTTTTGCTTTGTAGTTTAGGCTAGCCTTGAACTGTCTCTTTAGCCCAGACTGGCCTCAAACTCATAGTAATCCTCTTGCCTCAGTCTCAAGTGCTGGGATTACTGGAGTGTGCCACCATCCCTGGCCTCAAGGTCTACTTTTGGAGCCCATCACAAGAGCCCCAAGCCATAGGCCAGCTGGGACCGACCGGGCCCTCAGCGAGCTTGGTACCTTGAGATTTCAGCCCAGCCTGTGCCAGTGAGTGCCCTGCTCCTGGGAGGGAGCATGGGGAACCTGTCCTGCCTGTCACCCCCACAGAGGCGTCCAACTCTGTCTCTAGGGAGAGTGAGCTGGTAATTAGTTCCAGGAGGGAACTTAGTCCTGGAGAAGGGTAGCGCATGCTAGAGGCAGGCCCTGTTCCCAGGGGCAGGGTCTTGCCCTCCACACCCACAGGGCCTGCCAGAGCAGGGGGTGCAGGGGAATCATGTGAGAAGCCTGTTATCCAGGGTGCACAAGCCCAGGCCCCAGGCTTGTTCCAGGGGATGGGCTGAGTGTCAGGCAGTGCACTGCAGATACCTGGGGGGACGGGTGCCTTCTCCAGGCCCTTGTGGCTCGAGGTAGACAGTACCCCAGGACCCACTGGCTCCCTATGTCCTGTGCAGGAGCTGCTGACAGACCAAATCAAGCAGGTGCAGCAGCGCTGCCACCAGAGTCTGTTCATCTTTGATGAGGCCGAGAAGCTGCACCCAGAGCTGCTGGAGCTCCTTGGGCCACACTTGGAACGCCAGGCTCTCGAGGGCCACAGGACCAAGTCTCCAAGAGCCATCTTTCTTTTTCTCAGGTGAGGTCTGGGTTGGGGAGGGCACGGGTGAGTGTGGAGGGCTTCCCCACTCTAAGCGCCAGTCCCTTCTGCTCAGGAAATACTAACTCAAGCTGTGGCTGGGGAAAAGTAGTCAGCGGCTTGCCTCAGGTTTCTCTGCTTTTGCCCTGATTACTTGCAAGCACTTCTGAGGGTCTGCAGAGCTCAGCCGGACCAGCCTAGCAGAGAAGCTGCCACCCATAAGTACAAAACTCCCTCTGAGAGCTCTGAGGAGGGCATTCCGTTTTCATGGCAGCCCAGTAGCTGAAAAGCAAGTACAAACCATCCTTGAAAGTTCCCAAGGAAAGTGTCAGAGGATGGAGTAAGTGTCCCACTAGGTCCCACGCTGCCCGTCCCTCTTCCAGCCTTGGAAGGTCTCTGATCAGTCCTGGGCCTCAAATTCAGGCATGATGCTGACTAAACAGCGTCCTCATTCTCAGCACCTGTAGTTGAATTTGCAGCACTGCCCTGCAGGACCTGTCCCCAGGCTCTTGAAATGGTTTTGTAGGATGCAAACGCAGAAATAATTTGTCCAACTCTTTTTTATTACTATTTTTGAATTTAACTTTTTTATTTTTTTGACACAGAGCCCTGCTATGTGTAGACTGACTTTGAACTCACTGAGTAGCCCAGATCAGTCCTCATACCTCAGGCTCCCAAGGGCTGGGATTCCAGCTGTGCATGTTTACACCCGGTTGAAACTGTTTTTATGGAAGGACCATCTTGAATGCTTCACAAAGCTGCTTTTTAAAAAATTTTTTTTTGATACCGGGGATCGAACTTACGACCTCATGCTTACCAGGGCAGGCGCTTACACCGCTAAGCTAAACCCTGGCCCCTACAAAGTTTCTTGTAGACCCAGTAGAAGTCAGTTCCTCCCCCATCCTACCTTACTCTCACTTCTGAAAGCACTCATTTGCAGGTGGGTTTTCTGGGGTTTTAGGGCACAGCTGGTGAGGATCGGGGTGATTTCACCTAGGTCTGACGAGTGCAGAGGGCTAACCTTGTTTCTGTGTGACCCTCAGGACAGGATGGACCAGGCTGTTGTTGCCAGGTGGGGTTCCCATGTCCTTCAGGGGCGTAAAGCTTGTGCAGGACTGTGAGAGGTGATTCGGGGTGAGGAGGAGGCAGGGATGAAGTTCCACAAGGGATTTAAGAGAAAAGAGCAGCTTGACACGAAGCTATGCAAGTGTCTTCAGTTAGTCCCGACCCCAGCTTCTACACTGTTCACCTCCTGGGTGGTGGCTCCGAGCCGCAGAGGCTGTTTGGAGGAGTCGCTTGGACCTACGGCTCCCCCCGGGGCCCTTCTGGCTGGGAGTTGGGATGCTTGGCCCCACTGCGGCTGGGCCCAGCCCTTCCCACCGAATGCATGAAGCCTGGAGTCGCGGTTCCTTTCACGCATCAGCTTCTCCTGCTGCTTCTTCTGTCCTCTCCAGATCAGTCCAGCTGCAGGCGCTACCTCCACGCCCGAGGAGCTGGCTGATTCTTCTGTCTGTACCTCAGCCTGGAAAACCCTTGCCCTCACCTGGACCAGGATTGCCTAATGTGACCTAGTGACCCAGCTGTCTCTAGACAGACATCTGCCTCTAGCATTTTGGTGGCGGACCAGCTGGCAGTGTCCCCTGTCCCCTCGGCAGTCCTGCATTTTCCTTTTGTGAACCAGCTTTGGTGGACTCACCCAGGCCACATAGTCACACACACAGCCAGTCATCCTAGGTGGAGACAGGGCCTGGTGAAAAGGCATCCTGCGAGACTGTACTTCATCACCATCTGATGAAGCAGCTGACCTGGAGGCAGAGAGGAGGACACACACTTGTGACAGGGACTTGAAGATGTGGCCTTGAGTTCCATTAGCTCTGACGTGACCTTGTATAAAGGCCTCCTGCCAACAAGGGGTCATGGGACACACAAAGCCACAGCCAGTTGCACCCCCCTCCACAGGCTAGGACACCCCACAGAGTGGCTGCTGCTCTAACTCAGCAGTGCTCAGGTACCCTAGTCATGAGTGGGGCGGACACCTTGAGATTTGAGTCTGAGCCCGATTTCTATAATGGACTTCAGTGAATCCCCCTTGTGATGAGGACTCATGAAGTACAGCTGATTTAAACTGTTAGCATGACCAATCACCCTAGGGTAAGACACCTTTAATCCTGTGAAGTATCCTAAACCAGCTGTTTGAAATGAGGCGCTGGTGGCCACCTTCTCATGCATCTGCTGGCAGATGAGTTAGGATGAGGACTCACTGCCCAGGTGTGCAGACGCCAATACCCTGGCAGCTGATTTTTCACAGCTCAAGGGCGTTATATTGAAGGGTCCCCCCGAATCCCAAGCATGCTCACCTGTCATCCCCATGGGTGGGTAGCACAGGGATTTAAGCAGCCTGGGGTGAGGGAAAAAGGAGTGATTGGCTGTGATAACTGGGAGCTTCGCAGAATAGTCCAGGTGGAGCTGGTAGATAATCTTGGTCCATCCTGTAACTACTGACAGCTCCTCTGGCCTCTAATCTAGGTGCTCGCTCCTCAGGTTCTGTTGGTTCCCCGGGCTCTCCGGTCACTGTAGATTGGTCATAGGCTTCTGAGCCTGTGTCTTGAGGAATAGCTGGAACAGATTTTAGAGGCAGGGGCTTACTGTTTTACAGCTCACTCTCAGAGGGAGCCATGGAGCAGGAAGTTTAGTGTGTGGTGGGTGAGGACACCCCGGTCTCATAGCCCGTCCTAGTCTCGGTGGGAAGAATTAGGCTGCCTTCATCCGGTTATTAGGAAACTGACATTGACTACTTTTCCCCATTTTTGCCAAGTTCACAAAGCTCCAGGAATGGGTTAGGTGGTAAGACCAGAGATAGAAGCTATTGAAGCTAAAAGAGAAAAACTAGTTTTTCTTTGACTTGAAATAACTGAAAAGTGAACTGTACAAATATGGATAATTCATCATGGCCTTGTACCTCAGCATGGAGTACTCAGTGTGTATTTGTTGGCTGCTCTTTATCGACCAAGCACACTAGTTCTCACCTTACAAATAAGGAAGGCTTAAAGAGATCTGCGATTCAATCTGTGCTTGTTCTTTCCTTGTGCAAGGAAACTTAGCAGTCTGAGTTCGTTCTGGGGGTATTCAGTGACCACGTGTTCTGGAGAGGCCTTCAGGCCTTTCCTGCCCCAGGTCAGAAGGCTGGCCCATAGGGGTGTTTCCGGCCCCTTGTGGCAGTCAGCAGGTGGCCTGGTGCAGTGGAAGGGAACTGAGGTGCTCCAAGAAGGCAAGGTCTGTGTGCAAGTGGCATGCTGGTGCCAGAGTGCACCCCCGAGGAGCTGTGCGTGGGGGGCAGTGAAGGGTCAGGACTCCCAAGTTACGGCTTGTTGGTAGATAGGGCCTAGCCTGGTGGGGGAAAGAAGACATTATCTAGGGGACAAAGACAGAGGGGAGACTTGCAGGAGAGCTGGAGATGGTGCAGGGTGCCTGTTGGGTGGTGAGTACTGTGCTCGGCGCTGGGCTTATCTGGTTAAATAAGCCAGGCTTCCTGTTCTCGAGCAGCTTAAAGGTGATGGTTTTCTGGGTAGAAAGGGGGAGGCACTGGGGTCTGTACCCCAGTGCTGGGGGAATGAGCCGCACTGTCTCATCCTGGAGGCCTGGCCACCAGCCCATGCCATTGAAAACAGGTCCCTGCCTGTCTCCTTCAGCGAATGTGGGTTGGGGGAACCCTGGGCATGGAGCTGCCCTGCCCCTGCTGATGCAGTTGTGGCCCCGACAGAGCGCCTCGCAGGCTTCCTCGAGGCAGAGGTGGAAGCAGGGCAGCAGCTTGTCGGCTTCAGGTGGTGCCGGGATCAGGGAAGTCTGGCCGAGCAGCTGACCTTGAGCAGGACATGGGGACTGTCCTTGCTTCTGCTGGTTCACGGCCCTAGCACGTTGATCCCTAAGGAAGGATCCCCTGTAGCCCTGGGGGAGGGAGGTGGGTAGGCCAGGAGGGTCCCCACCCAGCTCCTCCCTGAATCCCGGAGGCCTGGCCCACTGGGCACACTCAAATGTTAAAATGAGCAAAGAAATGGGTTACTAGGGTGTCAAAGGGCTTCAGAGATTTGTGAGCAGAGATAGGAAAGGAGTACTGGTCTCTGCTCCTCAGCCTTAGGCCTGCTTTTCCTCCTCCTCCACCTATTACACCCCCTCATTCCACCAGCCCTGGAGGAAAAGCACGGGGAGAGCAAGGCTTGGTTTAAGGTGCTGCAGCTGCGGGACAGAAGGGTACAGGGGCAGGGCAGCTGCAGGGCTGTCTCCCCTTAACTCCCCTTAAGCTTCTCAGGGGGTGGTTCTCTGGGTTCCTCTCTTCTCCTTACCCCTTCTCTTCTACGCTTCAGACCTGTAATCGCTGCTGTGTAATGACATCCCAGCCCCTACAGCGGCCACAGGCCATGGAAAACACTCAAAGGCACATAAAACCAACCTGTCACGTCCAGCCTTCTCCTGTCAAGCAGAGCAGCAAGCAACCCGTGGGGAACTTTTGCCTCCTTTTTCTCACTTCTCATGTTCCTCAGTTGCAACATCCATCCTTTCAGTGGTGTTTCCTAAACTAACTCTTAATCCTTCTCTTCATCACCTCTACACGTGCACTGTTGGCAGAAAGCTCTGGGATTAGCTTCCTGCAAGCATTCCCGGCCTCTTCAGCCGACGTAGCCCTGGAATGACTGTCTTAGGACACACAGCTGATAAGTTGCAACCCCACGCTTAAAACTCTTCAGTCCTCCTCTTAGGCCCATAAGCTCAAACCCATGCACAGGGCCCACGAAGGCCTCCTCCCCCCGGCGTGGCTGACCTCTCAGGCTTGTTCCTCCAGCTCCTGACCCCCCACTGCCTGTGATGCATGGTCCGGGGGCCTGCACCGTGCCCTCCTCAGGGCTGATGATCACTACTTAGCGTGGATCCGCCCTGAAGCTGTCTGCTTCTCCACGAGTACTTGCCACACTGTCCCGGAATCTCATGCACACATGGGCCTCGTTATCACACAGAACTCAAGGGAATGAACCTTGTGCTCCCTGTACAGTCTCATTAAAGAGAGGGTAGATGGCGAAGCAGGCAGTGTCTTTTCTGTAGGCTGTCGGGTTGTGATGCGACTTGCCTGAGATGGAAGACCTCGGCCCCTCAGCCTCCATTCTTTCAGGCATCAGTGAATGATGGGCTTTCATTTGGAAGACTAAAAATACACACCTGCCAATAACCTCATCTCTTTCAGTAACCTTGGAGGCAATGTCATCAACAAGGTGGTCCTGAATTTGCTTAAGGCAGGATGGGCCCGGGAAGAAATTTCAATGGAACACTTGCAGGCCCACCTCCAGGCTGAAATTAAGGAGTCCACAGGTGAGTGGCTGGCTGTAAGCCTGTGATGAGAGCCGCTGTTGGAAATGATTAGCCTGCATGCTGATTATGTGCTTCTGAGGCAGACAGGGCTTGAGGCCAGGCCATATCAAAATCATGTTTGTCAGTTTTTGGTGGCAAAATAAAAGTGCCCAAGAAAGCCTGAACTTTTCTAAAAATTCTTTGAAAAGTTTGTTTGCACTGGCCTGAGCTATAGGCAGTGTTTTCAGAAGCCCTTAAACTTAAACTCTGGTCTCAGCAATTTAGCCTCCAGCCAAAGGTAGGATGGGTCCACCTTCTGCTTTCTGCTATCAAACAGAGCCACAGTCTGGCAGTTGTACCCCACTCCCCCTGCTTCACCGCACACCTGTTACCATGCGAGGTGCTCTGCAGCACTGCCTGGCTCTTGGCAAGGGCTGCAGACAGCCCCACTAGAGCTGGCCTAGGAGGTCAGATTTTGCCCAGGTCTTAGATTCAGGGACTGGGTTCTGCCCAGTTAGAGTTCATGTAATTCTGGGTCTTGATTTCAGAGAGTGGCTTTGGCCACAGCCGTCTGGTGAAGGACAACCTGATTGACTTCTTTGTCCCCTTCCTGCCACTGGAGTACCGTCACGTGAGGCTGTGCGCACGTGATGCTTTCCAGAGCCAAGAGCTCCTCTACACAGAAGAGACCCTGGACGAAGTTGCCAAGATGATGACCTACGTTCCCAAGGAGGAAAAACTCTTCTCTTCCCAGGGGTGCAAATCTGTTTCCCAGAGAATTAACTACTTCCTGCCTTGAAGGCTCCGTGAGACTTCTGAAGATACCTTGCTGCACTAACAAAACTCCGGGACCTGCCAGGTCACTGGTGGGCATCCAACAATGGCTGACACACAACTTGTCAAGGACAGGCTTACATCGGAACCAGAATCAATTCTTAAAATCATTTAGTGCCTTAAAGACCTACACTCCAAATGAGAGGCCAGGAAGCTGGAAAGGCCAGAGGGAGATCAGCAATTTCCAAGGGCTGGCTCAGCCCTGCGATGGTCTCGCTGGCACTGGAGCACTTAACTGGCTATCTTGGGTTTTGTGCTTCCAAGGCTGTTGGATTCTTGGTTTAGAGAAGACAGAAGAAAAGTTCTGTGGCCCTGTGCAGGGGAGTATAACCTGAGTTTGCTGGTTCTCAAGTTCCTACTCTCAAAGCAGAGCAGTTTCAGTTTGTGAGTGGATCACGGATCAGCAGGGTATTAGGCTAACGGGAAAAGTGGTGTTCTGATCATGTGGGTGGTGTTCTGATCTGCAGATTGAATTTTTTTAAATTGGGGGCTTGACATAAATGATTATGTCATATGTAAAAAGATTAAAATTTTGTATTTTTAAAACATTTAACCTGTTTTCTTACTGAGATTAGTAATTGTGCTCAGCAAAACTTCAAATGTCAGGTAATCTTAATGGGGACTGATGGGAACAGGTGGATGCTGGCATCCACACTGCTGGCGGAGCACATTTGAGATTTTTTATTTATTTTTTTATTGTTTTACCACATTAGCTGAGCTAGGTCACAACAAAATTTTAGTGAAGAGGTTTCGAAGGCATAGTGCTTTTACATATTAAAAACATTCACTCCTGGACTCCCAGTTTTAAAAGGAAAAGTCATTTTGGGGGATTAAATACAATGTGAAACTTTACACTTCCCAGGTTTTCTCATTTCTTGGTTCTTCCCTTCTGCACTTTTGGAATAATACACTTGTCTTTTGTATTTGTTATGTCCTCTTTTACTTGATGCCCTCTTCAACCCTCTCATCTGGAACATTTCTGGCTCCCCCATTGAACACTTTATTGTGTTCAAGTACTCAAGTAACGGCCTCAAGGTTAGGGAGTCCCTAGCCGATACATACGTGAAGGAGTTAAGGCGAGTAGTTCACACCACTCACCATACACGGGGTAAACCCGGTCTAACTGCAGTCAGAAGGGGCCACTTTTAGCTGCTGGCTCAACATCTTTCAGTCTAGACAGAGCACCTGTCAAAACGCATCCAGCTGCGGTCTAACGCTGACACACTCTGAATACATACTGTAGAAGGTATAGTCTGTATTGATAAATCTGAGGTGCACCAAACACTTCGTTTTAGCACTGGCCAGAAATGTTTGGTGTCATGAATACAGGTGTGAACTCTGAACTCAGGGTCAGACAAGTAGCAGAACACAGTGGTTCCAGACACATTCTCAAGCCAGTGTATCTGGGTTGGAGTTGGTTTCCACCACTTAGGACTGTGAGACACCAGGATTTGTCTCAGAACCCCTCCTGGAAATCCAGAAGCTATTCTTGTTTCCAGTGAAAATTCTCCTAATCACCTCCTATGGTTCATGACTTCAGTTTTCAACGTTTGTGGAACCATGAGCTTTGTCCACGCAGTGAACACATGACCCTTGCCAGTCGGATAATTTACACAGAACTCAAAACTGTTGGCAGCCTGTTACAAAGGATACACTCAGGAACAGCTGAGAGAAGAGCGGCATAGAGCAGAGTGCTCCGGGTCAGCTGGTGCTGAGGCACATGTGGACATGGAAAACCAGCTGAACAAGTGGGCACGACCTGTTAGTCCAGGGCACACGCAGAGAATCAGTTCCAAAAGTGCTGTACCTGGGACAGGAAACGGCCTTCCGTTCTCCTGAGAACCCCAGCAGGTTTTAGATGGGATGGCCTCGGCCATCCTATCAGTCAGCCGGAGGCACGAGACATGAGGGACGGCCACCGTTAAGTTCCTGGTCACTGTGCTCTTTCCTACCGTGACCATTACCTGCCGCGTACTTCTGTTCAATTGGCCCACACCCTCTGTGCAGTGGGTATTTCTTTTCCTACCTTTAGTAAATGTAAAACTTTGCTACTTTTTTTGGTCCAGTTCTTATGTGGTCCCGAGTCCCCAGAACCCCAGAACTCAGTGACTTTCGTGCCCTCTTGCAGTTTCCACCCTCCCGGCACCTCATGTCTCCGCCATCCTGGAAGCCCTCTGAAACCCATCATTTGTTAAAGTTCTATGGAAGCCGAGTAATCACTGGCCACTGGTGGTTAAGTCAATCTCCAGCCCCTCTTCCCTGCTGGGGGGGGGGTGTGTGTGTGAAAAAAAGTAGGGGCGTGAGGCAGAAAGCTCCAAACTTCTGATCACATAGTTGCTTCCTCCTGTAACCATCTCCCATTCTTTTAGAGTTAACTCCCGAGTACAAACTCTGGTAGGATTGTGAATAACAGATATTTCTCTCACCACAATACTTGAAACTGCCAAAGGTTCTAGGAATATATGTTATGAAACAATACCACAGATGCTTAATAAAGACAAACTTCATAAAATTGTTAAATTTCTTGCTCAAAGTTACAAAGTTAGCCAGTTATGTGGAATGAGGATTCAACCCCGGAAATTGGACTCCAGCTTCTGTACTTTAATGATTGATGTTTGTGTTCAGGTATGGATAATGTGAGAGGGAGAAGATCACAATGTGAAATTCTTTCTGGAAGACTCTAAAAACAAAACTTAAACTGAACTGAAAATGAATGGAAGAAAAGGACTTAAAAGGGAATGCAAAGGGTATAAACTATGCATAAGCCGGGTGTGGCGGCACACATCTATAATCCCAGCACCAGAGGCAGAGGCAGGAGAATCTCCGAGTTCCCAGCCAGCCTTAACTTCATAGTGAAACTTTGTCTCAAAAAGATAAACTGTGCTTAAACCCATTCTAATTAGCCTAATGCCTATCACTTATGTGTAGTCTACCTGTACCTAATTCAGGTAACTTCTAGAAGCAGTAACTTAGGGGTGGGGGATTTAGCTTAGTGGCTTAAGTGCCTGCCTGGCAAATGCAAAGTCATGAGTTTGATTCCCAGTGCAAAAAAAAAAAAAAAAAACCCACAGAATAACTCATTAAATTTTTTAAAAATACAAAATCAACCAACAAGAACATAGTATTCCCTTTTGAGGGTCTACAGTTTATTAACACTGTTTTGGCTCACAACAGTTTTAGAACCTCTTTGGAGTTTGTCGCAGAATGGGTTTTGAGAGAATTAAGTTTCTCTTTACAGTCCCCTCCTATTGGAGACACACAATGCGCACAGACATTACCTACCTTGTCTACACCAGCCTGAGCTCTAGAAGATGCCTTGTGTCCACTTCCAAAAGTGAAGATATAATCTAGAAAACAATCATCTCCCATTCAATAAACTAGGCACCAACAGAAAGGTAAATCCTTATCTATCAATAATTACCTTAAAAGTAAACAGGTTAAATTTTCCAATTAAAAGACAGTGGCTGTATTGATTAAAAAACAAAGATCTAACAGTAGCTTCAGGACTCATTTAACTGTTAAGAACTGAAAAGCTTTAAAAATTAGAATTGTAAAGCTAAGCTATCTGTCCAGCTTCCTCATGCTCAGTGACAACTGCAACCCTTAGCCTTGGCACCAAGGAAGTTTCAACAGAACCAGGCTTTCAACACTGTTCTGGACCAGCTGGTGGGATAAAGCCTGGCCAAATCTACATTCCCTATTTCCTAACCGTGATCTTATTTCTCCTGTAAGTTAAAGTGCATCCGTGTTTTTGAGGGTGGCAGATAGCTGCCCTCCTGATTTGGCTCGCTTGTGAATAAACTTATTTTTCCCTTTGTGTAGGCTTTTCTCTTACTCTTGATGGGTAGGTGAATGAAGCCAGAGAGCTGAGGTTCAGATTCAGGCCTCTGGCTAGGTCCCAAGTGGCAAGGACCCACAGACTCAAAGTGAAGGAATGGAAAAAGATATTCCATGCAAATGGAAACCAAGGGAGAGGAGTGTGTATGTGTGTGTGCGTCTGTATGTACGTATATGTGTGTGTACATATATGTATATTATATATATGTATACTTTAAAAAGGAACAAAGATGTCATTACACAACAATAAAAGGGCAATTCAAGAGAATGTAACAGTTTTAAATAGGAATGTATCCAGCACTGGAACACCTAAATCATTTAAGCAAACATGAATAGACCTAAAATAGGGAGAAACTTACTGCAATACAAAAATAGCAGGGGATTTCAGCAGCCCACTCAGAGCAACGGACAGATCAGACAAGAAAATCGACAAGCAAACACTGTATTTAAATTGTATTGTAGACCAAATGGGCCTAACAACCATTTATGTACATCCCATCCAGTAGCCGAGGACACACACTTTCCAACTGCACATGGGACATTCTCCAGGACACGTCATGTATTAGACCACAAAACAAGTCCTAACAAATTGAAGAAGACTGAAAATCATACTGAGAGACTTAATTTTTTTGAGACAGGATTGCGTTCTGTGATTCAGGCTGGCCTCGGAACGCATGGAGATTCTATGTCTCAGCCTCCCGAGTGCCTGGACGGCAGCCTGTGCTACCCACCTGGCTCAGGTGATCTTTATCACAACGGCTGGTTTTCAATGTGGGGTGAGGGCTCTGGAAACTGCAAATACACAGAAACTGAGCAACATGCTCTGGAACAACTAATGGGCCGATGAAGAAAGCAGAGGGAAATTTTAAAGTTTCTTGGCCCAAAATTAAAACAAACATACCAAAACTTGTGATATTGCAAAGCCAATTCTAAGAGGAAACTTTATTTTTGTTTATTGTTATTATTTTGGTCGAGACAAGAGTCTCACTACTCTGTAGCACAGCTGGCCTTGAATTTGACAGTGATGTTCCTTCTTTAGCCTCTAGAATGCTGGGGTTGTATGTGTGTGTCACCAGGCCCAGCTGAAGAGAGAACTCTGGGAAATAAATGTCTACCTCAAAATGATCTCAAATAAACTACCTAAAACTATACTGCAAGGAACTTGGAAAACAAGAATAAACTAAATGCAGAATTAACAAGAAAGAATAAACATCAGGGAAAAAAAAATCAATGAAATGAACCCTAACACACACACATACACAAATTAATGAAATGAAGAGGTAAACAATAACAAACTCATACCAGACTAAGAAAAAAACTCAAAATCAAACATGAAAAAAGAGATGTAATTAAAATCGTAGAAACACAAAAGATCATATGATGCAATTATAAGTAATTATATACCATCAAACTGGATAACACAGAAGAAATGGATAAATTCTTGGACAAATACAGCTTTTCACAATTTGACTTATGAGTAAACTATTTTTTTAATTTTAATTTTTGTGCAGACAGGGTCTATGTGGTCCAGGCTGGCTGTGAACTCCTGGTGATCCTACTGCCTCAGCCTCCCAAGTGCTGGGATTACAGGTGTGCACCACGACCCCCAGCCATGGAAACAAAACCATAACAAACCTATAGTAATTGATAAGTATTATGGCTTGTGTCTGGATGGCCCCCCAAAGCCTCATGTAGTTATAAGTGGGGCTTGTTAGAGGTGGCTGGATCTATAGTTTGATGCTAGAATGAAAGGTGGTTACTAAATTAGTTCACTGACTGGCTTGGCACAGTTCTGGGTAGGATTAAGATTGCCTCACCCTGAGTGTGAGTGTTACCCACTCTGAATGTGGGTAGCCTGGCTAATAATACATAAGGGACAGAAAGAGGGTCTGTGGTCCTTTATCACTTGCTGCATTCTGCAAAGCCACCGTGCCTTGGAGCCAACCAGCTATGAACTGAATCCTCTACAAACTGTGAGCCAAATAACTTTGGGTGCTAGGCAACGAGAAAAGGGCTAAGATAATCAGTAACAAAAATTACCCATTAAAGAAAAACCAAGGGCTTGGTGGCTTCATGCTGAATTCTACCAGTTAAACAACATCAATTCTACTGAAACTGTTCCAAAACAATGCAACTTAACTGTATAGGGCTCATTGCACAAGGCTAGCATCAATATGATACTAAAACCAGACAGGATACAACAACAAAAAGAAAAATATGGGCTAATATCTCTGATGAACATAAATGCAAAAACCCTAACAAAATACTAGGAAACAAAATTCAACAGAATGCTAAAAAGATCACTCATCCTGACATACTTTAAAATTTTTTTTCCTTTCATGTATGAATAAAATGGATTTGAAAAGCAAAACAAAACAAAAACAAATAAAAAGATCATTCACAAACTGGGTGTGGTACCACATGTCTATAAACCCAGCATTAGGGAGGCTGAGGAAAGAGGATCCTAGAAAGTTCAAGACCAGCCTGAACTGCGTAAGTGAGACCCTGTCTCAAAAAGAAAAAAAAAAAAAAAATCATTCACTATCATTAAGCATAATTCATCGTAGGTAAACAAGGATGGTTCAGTATCTGCACATCAGTAACTGTGACATCACAGAATCATGATCATTCATTAGATGCAGGCAAGCATGACAGAACAAGGCCACACAATGAATTTAAGGCCAGTCTGAACTACACAGTGAAACCCTATTTCAAAAAATATATCTATATAAATATATATACACATATACATATAATACAGGACATATATGGTAACATGAATGGAGTTGTCTTTAAGAGCACAGAAAAACAAGTGCCACATGATCTCGCTTGTGTGTGGAAATCTAAAAAAGCTGATCTTATAGAAGAGTAAAATGATTACCAGAGGCTGGAGAGGCAAGAGGGAGGAAAGACAGGAGAGAGACTGACCAATGGGCACCAAGTTATAGTGAGACAGGAGTGAAAAGCTCTGATATGCTACTGAATAGTAAGGTGACTATAGAAACCACCTTTTACGTATTTCAAAGCAGCAGGAAGGATTTTGAGTGTTTTCATAAAGAAATGATAAGTGAGATAAATTAAGCTGATTTAAACATTATACAATGTTTACAGTATCAAGATATCACATGTACCCAACATATACTATTTTATGTATGTTTCAAATTTTTAACTTAGATTTAAAAATAAAATGCATTTTCAGGACTGTTTTAAATACATTATAATGTGTAATCAGATTTCATATATTTTTTGGAAATGTTGGGAAAATATTCACACATATGCACACACAAATAAAACAGAACTGCCTTATGACCCACCAATCTCATCACTTGGTATATATTCAAAGGACAGGAAATCAGTATGTCAAAGAAACACCTGTATGCCTATATGTATTATAGCACAACTCACAAAATCCAGGAGTAATGTCCCCCAGCAGATGAAAGGATAAAGGAAACACACACACACACACACACACACACACACACACACACGAATACTCGTTAGGCATAAAGCGATGAAATCCTGCCAGGCATATAGCTCAGTGGCACAGCGCCTGCCTGGCAAGCGTGAGATTGTGAGCTTGATTCCTAGTTAAAAAAAAAAAAAGTGCAACAATGAAATCTTATCAAGTGTAGCAACACAGATGAACCTGGAGGACATTAAGTTAGTTGAAATAAGTCAGGTACGGAAAGACAAATGTGGCATGGTCTATTCATGTGTGGTATGGAAATAGGCCAATTTCAGAGAGGCAGAGTAAAAGAAGGTAGAGAGAGGAAGAGAAAAGTGAACTAGTAAAAGACTGGTCAGTGGGTTTACCATAAAGTTAGGCAGGTGAAACACACTCTGGTATTCTTTTGCACAGGAGTGACTACAGTCAGCAATACTGTACTGAATATTGCAAAACAGGTAAGAGAAAAACAAGCTAACTTTTGAAGGCTCTTACCACAAAGAGGTACAAAAGCATAAGGTCATGGATACTCTAAACACTCTGCTTTGGATCACACTACATCCCACAAATATCTATTATTTATGTGTCCATCAAAAGGTAATTTTTAAAGATTAAGAAGGATAAAAACAATAGACTTGTTTCCTTGTGTCTATAATGCTGCTTTGGCTCCAAACATTTTTAGAACGTATTTGGAATTCTCTTCGGAATGGAGACACTCACACCTTATGTACTCCTGCTTGGAATCCAGATGATGCCTTGTGTTAAAAATGTAGTTCATCGCAAGATGACGATTCATCCCAAAGAGGACACCCTAAAGACAGTGCCAAAATGAATGCATGCTGAAGTCATCTCTCCACCTTACAGACATCTATTTTACGTAGCCTGCTTACATTCCCTGTCACTTAACATAGTGGGAGAAACACTCCAATTTCAACACTATTGCATCAATAAAATATTGCAACCTTTATTTAAAACAAAACACAATTTGCAAACCTTGTGAGACAACAGGCAGAGAGCAGTCCCTTTCAAGGGCATCATTTATTTACATCAAGTTTAACACTGTTAGCAGTTCACAGTCAGACAACAGAGTAAGAGAATTAAATTAGAAAACAAACAACTGAAAATATATTACAATAACGATTAAGGACAGATATCTGACAACACTGGTAGTGTGACCCATGATTGACGCAGTCAAATCCCTTCTTGTCTCACTGTGTACTGTGTCCCCCTAGCAATGCACACAGTGCCCACCACTCCAGACCTCACCCTCTGCACCACAAACACCTGCAGAGCATGACCTTTGGTATAAACATTAAATGAGCTTTTAAGAATTTGAATTAGCATGTTTTAGGACAAAGTTCTGTTATTCATCAGAAGCGTCAAACCTACTTTTACGGAGCAAGCGCAAAACTGGGGTTTCTCCATTGATAGTCATTACACAATCAGATTGCAAGGAAGGCAAAGTGTGGGGTCTCCAAGGGAGCGGGGGTTACACACGCATTAACAGCTCTGTTAGTCCGCATGCCAGTCATGCCACTGCTGCTGTCCACAAGGAGAGACGTGATTTACTCTTTCACTCATTCCCAGTTAAGAAAAGATGTGCACTTACATAAATGTATACCCTCCCTGGAGATATGAGATGTGATGGTTTTTTATTTCACTAAAGGGTTTTCAAACATATGTACCAAAGAACTGTAAGGTGAGTCCCTTATTGTTTTTTTTTGAATACTGATTTCTCTGGCTAATCAAGGTAATTTCTCCAGACCAAAAATTCTTTTCATAATGGAGTCGAAATGGCTACAGTGAAAACCAGCTGTCAAAATGGAAAAAAGGGGCAGGCATGGTGGTGCACGGCTGTAATGACAGCACTTGGGAGCCTGAGGAAAAGATTCACTATGAGTTTGAAGCAGCCTTGGCTGCAAAGTGAGTTCAAGGACAGCCTGAACTGCACAGGGAAACTCTGTCTCAAAAACAAAAGCAAGCAAGCAAGCAAGATGTCTTATTTGACCTTCATCTATCAGAAGCAGCTCTGTCTCCTGGCACTCCTGCCACTCACAATATGTGAGGCTCTTAGAAATGAAATCAAGCATTATTTGGGAGTTGTTAATTGATAGCTCTAAAGCACTACAGTTATCTTCTAAATCAAGAATAAATTCATTTGGCCTACCTCTTTTTTTTTTTATTGTTATAGGGGCAGAAACAGGGTACCGAGATACATGAAAATTTTGTTAACCCCAAGTCCAAATCTCCATCTAAATTTTAAGATATGAAAATGTTTTAAAATTCTTGTTTGGAAGCTCAGAAGCAAATCTAGTCAAATTTCAAGAACACAACTCTGAGTACTCCCTATGCAAAGCTTGCTAGCATCTGAACTTGCCCTCACCATGTCTGAAAGGTTACCAGCCTGACTTGTGCACAGCTCAGCAGCTCAGAGTGATACGCAGGACCCTAAAACTTGCCCTTGCAAGTACAATGATGAGCACAGAATCTCATGGGAGGTTTTAGTATCATAATTCTGCCTTGAATGGGGTATGGGCTGAGGACAAAGTTGTGCCTCATCTTTCAACTCAGTTGGTTATCATCCACCTGTCATTTAGGTGGTCTACAGATCTGCATAGGACATGTTACCTCTGGCCAAGTTAACAGGACTCTGCTATTGTATTCAGGTTGCTCAGCAATGGGGAAGCTAAAACACACAATTTTTATAGGACAGGTACACAATTCCAAATTTATAGTTGTACATAGGAGCAAAGAAGTGCATTTGGAAGGAGGGAAGGAACCAGTGACAGCAGCCTTTCCTCAGTTCTCCAAATGGGATGGACAAAAGTGCAGCAGGAGGTTATCTGCAGGGTCAGCACTGTGTGTAAAGGAGAACACACAAGTGGAGGAGTCACTCACACAGGCCGAGACCGTCTGAAGCGCATTTCTACCAGACCTAAATCAACGCTTACGCACAATCAACTCAGCAAACAAGACTTTTCCTTTGCAGGACGTAGGACCCCATCTTTGAAGGCACAAATCTCTGCAGGTAACCTCTGTCACCCCAAGTCAGCTTGGAATCAAGCTAATTCGCTGTAGGCCTCCTTACCCCAGGAGAAGCAGAAAAACTTCTTACCCTGATCACAAAGGGAAGAACCTTTTCTAAATCCCTGGCCTTTGGATCTAAGATAATAAGTCAGAAACTGAACTCTCATGTTGAATACTTAAGACAGACCATGCACCACAGGTCGGGGGGCACAGAGAACAGCAGCCCCAGAACAGAAACCCATCTGTCTGGACACTATAAGACTTACCAAAGACAAGGTGGAGTGAGTCCTGCCTGGGTAACTGTCCTGCAGCAGCCTGCTCTGTAGTCTGACATCATGCTTCCTTAGGTACAGAGGTGCAGAGTGAATGGCAGTGAGGTTTGGCAACTGTAATTGTGCTAAATAGGGCAGGTAACTGTTACTCCAGGCACTACTGACTGACTCCCCCGAGCCCCCAAAAGCCAGTCTTGCATTACATTTTTTAAAGTCTAATAACTGGGAAAATGGAACTCATCCCAAAGATGAAGACACCCTGGCTGTGAAGAACAGATTTTAAGCCAGCCCAAGGCCTCATCTCTTGACTGGTGAGGCTATAGCTAGCAGCAGTTTCCCCACCTGTCACATGGAAGGTACAGGTGCCCTTGGATTGCCTATGTCAAGTCCGTCAGCAAGGCAGAGGCTCCTTTGGAGTTGGTCACAAATTCCAAACTGAAGCAGGAATACTCCAAGGTGCTAAACTACTGGTTTGGCAGAAGCTAAGGCAGAGATACAGACAGTGGCAGTCTTATCAATAAACAACAAGAAACTTAAGCCCAGAGATTTACCTGCACAAGAAGGACTGGTCACTATATGCTTTGGGTAGAGCTAGACCCCAGAGCTAGGTGACATAAGTTAATGCAAGCAAGATGATGAAACCCCAAAATTGTCAAACAAAAATACTGATAACCCTCTCAGTCCAACATGAATTCCTGTTGTGGGCATAGTTTGATAATGACATTAGTAGCAAAAATGGAAAAAAGTAAGAGATCAGGATGAGGTGTGGCTCTAACTCAAAAGCAAACACCACTGTTGTTTATTCTTGAGTATTTCATAATCTATTATGTGAATTGTTTGGCTACTCATCTTAGAATAAAATTAGCATTGATGATAAATGTCAATGCCATTTATAACTAGTAGGAAATCCTAGAAAAGCAAAAATCCAAGTGCACTGGTTCTACGTCCACTCATCCCTCTTCCTATCTCCTCTCCCAACGCCTCACAAAACCTCGCAGGATGTAAGTTGAAACAGACACTGTCAACACCGACAGGTAACAAGTCTGCCTCCACCACATTTAGAGTTAGGACATGAAGGGCTGACCACGTAGGGAGAAGTGTTCAAGAGTAAGAGGGCCTCATCTTTCTTGAGTCAAGGTCCTTGAAGAGCTTCTGTATTCTGAAATGAACACACTTTACTGTTTTTTTAAAGATTAGCATTAAACCAAAAAATTGGTCCCCACTTTTCTGAAGTTATTCAGCTGTGAACAACTTTAGCACAATACTAGAGTTTCATATTTATAAATGTGATAAAATTACAGAGGTGACTCTGTGGTTTCAGGTCCCCCACAGGTACAAAACCTTTAGGTCAATCATCATCTAATCAAATGTTTTATGTTCTACACAGACATTCATAATACAACTTTATAGTTATATTAGATACTCTCTCAAAGTGCTTTCATGTAATTATCTCACAGTCACTAAAGTGATACTGAACTATATTTTAAGAAAAAGGAATGTAGGATTGGTTTTTCTTTTTAAAATTGGGAGTTGGTATTCCTTTACTACAAAGTGCAAGACTGTGTTGCTGAAGTCAGTTCAAAAGAATAATGCCATATAATTTTTTAAATGACTGCATTGTCCTAAATGCTTATTTTGCTAATGTTGCCATTATTAAACATCCGAGTGCCTTAAGGTTAGTGTGCTGGGAGTGTGTGCTTTGGCAAGTGTGCAGACTGCAGACTGATTGTCTATCTGAGCCACTTGTTTAGCCAAGTTTCACAAAGCAGCAGTACAGTGGAAAGATCCCTTCACTAGGAGTCAGGAGACCTGAATTCTAACCTCAGCTCAATCACTAATAGACTCTTCTGAGACAATGGGTAAGTAACTTAGTCATCTTCTCCTGTACTTTCATAATCGTATTTTTAAGACAATGTGAGCTTTCTAAAACACTTGGAGAGACTCTTGGAAACACACTGGCTAAGACTTCATCCCACTACTAATTCTGATCTAGAGTGGGGATACTTCATCAATTTTCCTTTAAGAACCTTAGGAGATCCCACTGTACTTCCTGGATTAGGTATAAATAATAGTTAACATTTATGGAGTGCTCATTGTGTGCTAGGCACTTGAGCTAAGAATCTTACAAACTTTTATTTCATTTAATCCTTGTAACAACCCTGAGGTAGTGAATATTTATCTCTGTGATAAAATGTGGAAACTGAGGCTCAAGCAAGTTTAAAAAAAAAAAAGTTGCCTCCTAGACAGACTATAAAGCCTGAACTCCAGACCAGTATCTGAACTGCAGCCTTTAAACTCAAAAGCTCTGTGACTTTAGATAAATAAATATAGGTTATGCCATAGCAAAGTCAGGACATTTTATTAACTGAGAACTATTTTACTAGCCACTTTTCAATTGTAAGAAAATTCCTAATTTAAACTGTTATTATTTTTTTACAGTATAGGGAAATGAACCCAGAACCTTTGAACTGAGCAATATCCCCATCCCTTTACTTTGAGACAGGGTCTTAATAAATCATTAAGTTGCCCAGGGTGGGTTCTAATTTGCAATTCTCCTGCCTCAGCCTCCTTTAGTGCCAGAAAGGGTCTCCACCACACATAGAGGTTATCTAGAAAAACAGCGACTACAATTTTGCATAACAGACCTGACAGCTTGGTACTGAGTTCAATGCACTATAAGAACACGTGCAAAACAAATCTTTAAAGAGAGTCTTTTAAGGCTAAATCTCTGAAAGTCATGATTGGGGTATACAGGAAAAAGACTATTTTAATTTTATGTACTCTTTTAAGAGAATACTTTGAATAAAGTATAATCAAGATGTATTCAACATGAAACCTTGTTTTAAGGTAGGAAATCTAAACTGTAATCCCACTACCTATACATGAAAAAACTCAGGCTGTGACATATGTGTGTGTGTGTGTGTGTGTGAGTATGTGTGTGTATCTCCACTTTAGAAATTTGTCAACATCTTGTACAAAATTCTTTATCCTTGCTTTCTGCTTTCAGACTGAATATAAGTTTCTAGAAGTTTTCTCTTTTAGATTTAAACCTTTTCTTTTAATAAAGTTTTTTTTCAAAGTTAGTCCTTTTCAAATAGAAAAAAGGAAAATCTAAATTACAATTTTATAGCAAGTTGACAGTGTCTCTTTTTTTTTTTTAGCGGTACTGGGGATCGAACTCACGACCTCGTGCTTGCCAGGCAGGCACTCATGCCACTGAGCTAAATCCCCAGCCCGACAGTGTCTCTTTAACCTGAACTCTAAACTCTCAACCCCTGAAGTTACATGGTTCAAGCATCATGTGGATGGAGTGTGCTACAATACTTAGTATTACTCATGACAGTGTTCAGAAAACTCAATTCAAGAATTTATTGAGCACCCACTGTATGTAGGACAGAACTAGGTGCCACCCCTGAGTAAGACAGAGCCCCTGCCCACCACCTTTAAGACTGTTCTTCGGAGTGAAAACCAGGGAGCTGAAATACACTCAGTAGTGTTTCCCCAAGGCTTATTTTCGGAACTCTTAGAAACCCCCCCCCCAAAAAAAACCCCAGAGCCCCTGCTTAAAAAAAAATCCCCTGGAAACAATTATAATCCCTATGCACCCACAATGACAAGGATAAACTTAAAAAGCAGCATAAAAATTCTCTAAAATTTCAGCTTTCCCCTCCCCACTTTTAAAAGACTGTTAAAAGCAGTTCAAGTTAATGGTGTGATGAAGGGGTATGGTAAGGAAGGAGGTACGGAGGGCTGTTGGAGATTAACTGGTCACCAGCGGCCCGCTCTGCAGCTGCAGGTGCACACTGACAGGATCACCTGACACCCGCCGTGTGCCCAGTGGTCACCTCCCTTCTAATCTTTTTCTTACCTGGGCCTCCTTTGAAGCAGCAACAATAAGAAGAATCAAAGTTTCCTTTCTTTTTAATGAAAACAATTTCTTCCTTGGTCAAAGATACCCAAATACAGTTTTCAAACTCTATCCAAACATAGTTTCTCCTTTATTTTTTTAGGTGTTTTGGAGACAGGGAGCTCACTTACATAGCCCATGCTGGCCTCCCAACTCATATGATCTCTCTCCTCAGCCTCCCAAATGCTGGGATTACAGGCATGCACCATCATGCCCAGCTCCTCTTTAGTATTCTAGCCAGATTAATATAAGCTCAGCAGTTCCAAACTTCACTAGTTTCTTCTATTACACAGCAAAGAAGAGAATGATAAACAATTAAATGTAACAATACTGCACTAAAGAGCTTTTTTTCAAAAGCTCTCAACAGGGTAGTGAATACATTTATCTGCAAAACACCCTTGAGAACACGTACTGCTATTTTCATTCAACAGATTAAGAGACGGGGCTGTGTCTTCACAGTGGAACGATGACAGAGCCATGGAGAAAACTCAGTGCTCAGTGCTGAGTCCCTATCTTCCTATGATAACATTTCTCTGGGAGGAGAAACACTTTCATTGGGTTATCTTTAGGGAGTGTGTGTGTGTGGGTATTATAAAGCTTTAAAAAAGAACGAAGTAACTAAAATTAGATACAACACCAAGAACATCAGTAATATATAACCTATTCAAATCAGTTCCTTCCTAAATAGCTTCCATAATTATAACTGAGTAGGAAAGGGAAAACTATTTTTCAAGGGCAAAAAATATGGGTTAAGTCATTAGATTTTCAGGATCTAACCAGTTCTCCCTGAAAACGATCTACTTAAATTATGAACTCTTAGAATAGAGATGAAATAATAAAATAAATAAAGAATATCCCCAATATGAACTATACAAACAAACATGATGGGCATGGGAACAGAAATTTGAGAGGACAAAAGCATGTGAGAATAGTGAGCAGGTAATCCAAGCTCACAGGGAGAGAAAACGCCTTCCACAACTATCTACCCACCTTGGGCTTAAGATGTTAAAGGAGAAGAAAAGAACAGCCAACTTCTCTCAGTCGTAAGCGTCTGGACCTGGCTATACAGTTTCAAGAAGAAACCGACAACTTAGTACTGTATGTTAGTTGATACAGTGCTTTGCAATGCAGGATGCAGGGGCATTGTGTCAGAAAAGACCTCCCTGCAAGAACTTGTAGTGACCACTTTCAAAATCAATGTTGATTAATGCCCTGAATGCTGCCAGAAATAAAAGAAGATAGCTTGCCCAGCAAGTGACAGGGAACCACTGAGGAGACCCCTGTACCTATGGTTTACAGATAGCTACCAATAAGCAGAAAATCAATACTGGTCCATTAAGAAAGAATATATTAGACTGGGAGAAATGACTGCTCATCAATATAAGATTTTAAAAAGAGGTTTTGATCTCCCTGATTAAACATCCCAGCATTCTTTACTTCTCACACCAACTAATCCACTATGATAAACACAGGGCCGTATTTCCATTTCATAGTCTAGCAATCTGACTTGCAGTTCTTACAACAGTAATGACTCATGGAAGCAAGGCAAGAAGCGGCTTCCAAAAGCCTAACAAACCTCCTGCTATATCCCAGCTTCCTTTCTTCAGCCCCACCAAATCTGCTAGGCGCCTGGGAGCACACTCACTCTTGTATTCCCCAGAGCCCCAGGACAAGGCCCTCTTCTGCGCTGCAGAATGACAACAAGCAGCCCAGTCTAGCACCTCACAAGGTTCCAGGTGGGGGTGGGCTGCATTTCCTAATGAAACAAACGCACTCCCTGTTTTTCCAGTGCAGTTTCCAACTTTGCCCGGACCCAATTGACACTTCCTTCATGTGATTTGCTTTTGTTTTTTTGAGATGAACCTGTAAACGTGAGAACTCAGGGATCTGAGGTACTTCACATAAACACACTCAAGTATCAGTCTTTCAATTTGAAAACAAGAACACAGGAAAACAAGTCCCTTTCTCTCTCCCCTCAGAAATGTGTCATCTTCCCACTAGAGCGGACAGTGGCTACCTCTGCACCACATCACTGATTTCCTGTACACAAGACAGTAAGTTGTTAAGGACAGGGTTGGCCCCGGGCACTCCAGCAGCTGCCGAAGACACCTGCAGCTCCTGCAAGCTGAGCTCCAGTTTGCTCACGGCCTCGCGGAAGGCGAACTTGTTGCGCGTCTGCGGGATGCAGTCCACGTAGCCTGAGCAGTAGTCAAGCAGCTGGTGCCCAGTGTCGACCAGCTGGCTATTGGGCACGGGTTCTGTGATTGCACTGGACAGCAGGTCAGCACATTCTAGAAGAGCCTCTTTGCTGATTTTGTCTGCTGAGATTTTCTCAGCTGCCTGTTTGGTTTTTCTCAGAGCCACTTTAGTACCTGCTGTGCCATTGGCCATTTTGGCTGGCGAGATGGAAGATGTGGGCAGAGGCACTTGAGGCGGAGGCATCACTGGTCTCCCAGTTTTCCCACCTACAGACACTGCCCCCAGAGCTGCCTTCTTCCCTCCTTCCTGTGTTTCTGACATGGGCTGTCCTGAAGGAGGCTCTTCTGCGGCATCTGAGCACACTGATGAATGCTGCAGTAGTCTCATCACTGGTGGTGGGGGTGGGGCACACTTTGGTTTCACGCGTCGGGGTCGGTCCTTGTCTCCAGAGGATGTGCCCTGGTGCTCAGATAAGAGCTTGAATTTATTGCCCTGAGAGTCTGTGCCGATGAGCTGCACGTCGGCCGGGGTATGTTTCAGGGTGGGTGAGATGAGGACTGGCACTTTGTGGTTGTGGGTGGTAGGGAGGACGGCTGCAGCCTTGGCTGGAGAAGACCAACCTGGCTGCTCTCCGTCCTCTGGGACTCCAGCCATCCCAAGTCGTGCCCCTCCATTCCTCTCCTTGCCTTTAGGGGCAGCTGCCACTCCAGCCACCCCCACCCCTGAAGAGTCCTTCTCGGTAATGGCTGGGTCCCCAGAGGGGGTTCTCAGAGGAAGAGGTGTGGCTCCTCTGGGCAACAGTTTGGCTTTTGGTCTCTCCCTGGTTGGAGCAGCACCTTCCTCTGATTTTTTTGGAAGCATGTCATTGGCCCTGTCCACATTCTCTTCTGGCTGAGAAGAGGTGGACACTGTCCTTTCCAGCTGGAGTTTGGACCTCTGGCAGTTCCTGGGAAGGGTCATTGCCATCCTATCCTGCTCTGGAAGCCCTGAGGACATGGAAGATGTAGAGTTTGACCTTGGAAAAGGCTTGGAAGTGTCATCACTGGCTGTGGGTTTCCCTGCTCGTAAGCCCAGTGTCTTTTTGATTAAGCGAGGTGTAAAGAAGCCTGTGATGCCAGACCACCCACCCCCAGCAGTGCCACTGCCCCCACCCCCACCACTGTCATCATTACAGAGATTCCTCTGGGCAAAGCTCCCCCCACAGCACTTGGGTGGCACCAGATTCGCTTCTTGCTGGGGAGGAGTGAAAGAGAACCCATCAGCATGCTGTAGAGAAGCAACAGATGAGAAGTTACCCGTGAGTTCATATTTCTTATGAGGCTGATTCTCCATTTCTCGGAAGGAGCTGCTGCGCTTAGGGGGTGTGGGAGCATTTCTCTTTTTCATGAAGGAGCTGAAAAAGCCTCCTTTCCGATCCCTGGTGAAACAGGTCTCTTTAGCATCTTCCAAGAGGCTGCTGGGTGATTTATCTCTTTGTTTTCGAGGCAGGGCAGGGGACCCACTGGTCTGTGCACTCCTAATGAACCCTGATGAAAAATGGGCAATCAATAATGTGAAAGATAGGAAATGAATCCATTAGGTGACTAAGGTGGAATTACAGAAGCTCTATCAGCATCTACGAAATACGATGTGCTGGCAGTACTCAGAGGAAATAAACAATGACTTGTTTCATAGTAGTTAGTATTCCAAATGTGATATAGAGGTAAATGGGGGGAAAGGGGTCAGAATCTGCTGCTTATGACCTCAGTATTTATTTATTTTTGGCACTGGGGATCGAACTCACGATCTCGTGCTTGCTAGCCAGGCGCTTATGCTGAGCTAAATCCCCAGCACTGACTCCTTTCCCTAAAATTGAACAGAACTGGCCATGCCTATTAGGCTTGATGAAGTTTTGCCAGAAGTATGAAAACAGTAGCTATCTGGAAGTCAGCATGTACCAAAAATGAGCAGTGGCAAAGTCACATGTTGGGCTGATAGATCAAGATTTGTAGTGCGGGCCACACGGGGCCAGGGAGTAGAGTGGGAGTGGAGGATGCTGTACTGTCCTCCGGGAAGACGGCCACAAAAGAATCCAATCCTACGACCTTTCAATAAGCAGTTTTTATTTTCATCTAACATGCTGAGACCCTTACCTGGTGCTGAACTGGACGCAGGATTTTCTGTGGCATCTTGTGTGCCTTCAATGTTCTCCTTGTTCTCTGCCTGTTTTTTTAGCGTCCGAGTCTTGGAAGGAAGGATAGGTAATCGGGGCAGATATGGAACAATAGATGAGGAGGAGGCAGCCCTTCCAAGTTCCTCAGCCACTTCTGTAAAGAACAGTACAGACAGAAACAACAATTTTGCGATAGAGAAATGAAGTTTTCTTTTCAGAAAAACTGGGAAAGAAATGGAGTGCCGGGGCTGGGGATTTAGCTCAGCGGCATAAGCGCCTGCCTTTCGAGGTTGAGTTCAATCTCCGGTACTGATTAAAATAAAGAAATGGAGTGTAGAATGGTATTTAAATGCAGCAACAAGCTGTAGCAGCATGTTCCTATAGCTTACCTTCTTGGGTGGCTGAGACTAGACTGCTTGAGCCCAGGAATTCAAGGCCATCCTGGGCAACAGTGTGAGATGCCAACTCTTAATTAATTAATTTACAAATGGAATCACCAAGTATTTACTCCTTTGGCTTCTTTTGCTCACTATTACATTTGTGAAAGCACATGTTGCAATTAGCAGATTTCTGTCTCATTGCTGTGTAGTATTCCAGTGTGTGATTATCCTAAAATTCATCTATTCTCTTGATGGATATTTAGGCTTATTTTAGTTGTTAGCTAGTATAAATACGTTGCTTTCTTACATGTCTTTTTTTTTTTTTTAAGCAGCAGCAAAGTTTATTAAAGAAAGTAAAGATGAAGAGGGACATACTGCCTCAGCAGAGTGAGCCTGGGTCCAGTAAAAGGAGAGAAAATTAAAGTACATCCTGGAGGAAGCAGGATGGGCTACCATGAGAAAGTCCCAATAACAGGTTATTCATGGTACTTGTGTCCTTTTATGCTGTCCAAATCCTGAGGAAACTCCTCAAGAACTTCTACACACAGGTCCTGAGAGGCAGTGCTGGGATTCCGCACTTCAGGCTGACATCAGAACTAGCCCATCCTGCTGAGAACCTGCTCAAGTTCTCTGGCAAAGTACACCTGCAGGGCTTTGGGAACTGTTCTCTGCACGTGTTCTGAGATCTTTTTCTTCCTCCCTTTTAGAAGTTTTATTGGTACATTCTATTTATTTACTTATTTATTTTTGGTTCTGGAAATCAAACTCACGACCTTGCACTTGCCAGGCAGGCACTTGTGCCACTGAGCTAAATCCTTGGCCTACAATTGGCTTACTTAAAAAAAAAAAAATACTTTTTTGGTACCAGGTATTGAACTCACGACCTCATGCATGCCAGGCAGGCACTTATACCACTGAGTTAAATCCCTAGCCCATGGTACATTTTACACATACATAATGGTAACACTCATCTACATGTCTTCCAGGTATGCAGATGTCTATGCACAACTGTTTTGTATAAACCTAGATGGAGAATTAGTAGGTCTCAGGGTCCACATGCAATCACCTTTATTGGGTCATCCCAAACTGTCTCAAAATGGCTTTAAGAATTTATATACCTACTATAAAGGCCCTGCTTTCTTTGCATGGTTGTGTAAACTGGATGTTACTGGATATTTGGGTATGATTTTAGTTGTAACATTCTGGTAGGCACATCATAGTATCTGGCTAGGATTTGATTTGTACCTCTCTACAGGGATGCTGAGCATGGTTTTATGTGCTTAATGGTCAGCTGGACATCCTCATTTACTAAGTGCCTATTCAGAGAGTTAACGAAGTGGACAAATGTCTGCACGTATTTTAATTTTTAGATTGTATCTTACACTAAACAAGGAGGATAAATACAATTTAGGATCTTGAAAAAGTGTTTGCCCCATTAGTAAGCCTTAGCTGACTTAAAGTGGGGCTATGGTGGTAGTAGCTTTTTACTGAGGCAAAGACATACTTTGTCATACATCTATTCCTGAACAAAAATGAAGCATCAGTCAAGATGTGAAATTTTGTAATTATTTTACAACTTTTTAAGTATTTACCTTAAAATTAGCCCCTCACAAAAGCAGGTATAAGGCACATAATCCAAGCCCACACTGAGCTTATACTGACGCACAGCAGCTGGAGCCCATCTCTACTCCGATCATGAGCTCTACAGGTATGTCCTGAACAGTGCTGGCAACTATGTCTTACCCAATTGAAGGAGTCTAAGGATGACCAGTGTAGAAGCAGAAGTCAATAGAAACTGGACAGGAGTGGGTGTGAGAGGGAGAACTACTTGAGCCCGTGGCTTCAGCCACCTCTATTTTCCACAGTCAGGTTATGAGCCAATAAACCTTTTTTTACTTACAAAAGCTTGAGTTGGTTTTTTTTTTTTTCACTTATATCTGACTAACAAGTGCATCGTTTTTAATGTTGGCATGTCACTGTTAATTGTGACTGTTCACCTGACTGGATTAAGAGGCACCCAGCAGAGCAGTAAAACACACTTCTGCCTGTGTCTGGGTGGAGGCATGCTCTAGAGGTACAGTTCTTGCTGGCACAGTTTCCATGCTCTGCTTTCCAGCCACCATGAGCTAAGCAGCTTTGCTCTGCCATGCCCTTCTGTCATGGTATTCCTGCCTTGAACCTTCAAGCCATGGATTAGAATCTCTGAAACCTGAGTCAAATACACTTCTCCTCCTTTAAGTTGCATATGTCAGGAATCTTCTGGTTAAGCAACAGGAAAGTTAACCAATACAAGGGACTATGTCTTATCTGTGTCCTCTAACCCAGGAGTACAATGGCTGCCCAAGAAGAGATGATCAATAAAATGTGGGTTGAGTAATTTTTTGGGGGTTGAGTAATTTTAAGTTCCTTTTTAAAAACAATTTTGAATTGAAACTAGTTTTTACAAATTGACGTGTTGAGGCTCGAGTGGCCGTCGCCATTTTGTAGGATTATCTCTGATGTGGGAGCCACTGCCACCACCGCTCTACCCCGAGGTTCCTCAGAATGGTGCAGCTGTCATTGGAAACCCGCCCCGGAGGCCGGCCACAGAGCAAGACTGCTGCTTTGAGCAGAATGGAAAGGTGCTGGAATGTGACATCATTAAGAACTATAGCTTTGTGCACATAAAGACCAGACAGCAGCGGGGAGCCATCCATGACCTGCACCACCACCAGCTACACAGTGTGACCATCACTGCGGAAGTCAGCAAGAACAAGAGCAAAGCTTCAATCAAGTTACATATGGGTAACATCAGCCCTACTTGTACAATCAAGGGCTTCGGGCCAAGTCTGAGGAATATGGTTCAGTCATCGAATATGACATTGTACAAGATTATGCCTTTGTATGCATGGAGTGGGCAGAAGATGCAGTGGAGGCCATCGGGGCCTTGACGATAGTTTCAAGGCAAAAGAATGCATGTGCAGTTGTCCACCAGCTGGCCTCACACTGCTCCTGGGATGGGAGACCAGAGTGGCTGCTATTGGTGTGGGGAAGAGGGACACTGGTCTAAAGGAGTGCCTGATAGACTGTACAGGACACATGGCAGACTTTACTAAACAGCACAATGAAGAGTATGGAGTACACTCTACACCATGGGCTATGAAGAATCCATGTATCGCAATGGTGCACACGGAGTACTCGATTACTAGAAGCAGTATTAGGTCTGCTCTTATGAAGTGGCAGCAGCAGCTGCTGATGCTTCTACATACAACTACGCAGACCAGACCGTGTCTCATCTGCCTCAAGTCCAGAGCTCAGCTGTGACCAGTCCTCTCAACTCCACCTCTGTTGATTCTTCTGACAGACATCTGTTGCCAAACTCCAGTGCTATGTGTGGCACCTCAGCTGCTATGGTGCCACACTTCTTCCTCCTCCTTTGGAAGGGACAGGAGCCCCCTGCATTGTGCTCCCCACAGTTGGACAGGGCTACAGCTCTGGGCCAGAGTGAGCTGTCCCAGGCTTCAGTAATTGCACAGAATTCCCGGTATGACATGGCCCCGTATCAATGGGAGCAGCATGTAGACCGAGCGAGTTGCTCAGCATTATAAAAACTGGAGGTAGGATACACGCAGACTAAACCCTCAGGCTGTGGTCATGAGAACTTGCTCCACACAGTCCCTTTTGCCGGGATGTTTCCTATTGCTTTATGTGTCAGTAAACAAAGCAGTTTGTGACCAATTATGTTTTTCTTAACTGAATCCTTCTAAGTTGGCTTTTCTTTCCTTCTGATACTAGTGTCTGTAGCCTTTTAATCTGTTCCTTATATTCTCAGCCTCTCAGCGGCCCTAGGTAAGGATTACGCTGGCATCCCTTTTCCTCTACAGTAGAATCCCCCTAATCTTGCTTTTCCTTACGAGTTGGACCCTTCTCCCTGCCGTTCTGCAGCATTTCCTATCCCTTTAAAATGACCATGTTATGGCAAGCAGACTTTTCTGTTAGCTCTGGACTCCAACATTGAAACTACTCTTCTGAAATTGCTAGGTCCACTGGGGTTTTGTAGTTGTTTTGTTTCTTTGTTTTTTGTCTGACCTGATTGTGATACAATATTAGATGAAATTTAGCCTTGTTTTCTCCACTCGTTTTTTTTTAAATAACTTTTTGACAAATATTTCTAACATTTAAAAAAGAAAACTGATCTGTTGATGTTCTAAGGGAATCTTCTTTTGTTTTGTTTTTGAGGCAAGGTCTTATCATGCAGTTCATGCTGGCCTTGAACTCATTATGCATCCCCGGCTGGCCTCACACTCATAGTGATCACCTGCCTCAACTTCCCAAATGCTGGGATTACAGGCATGCACCACCATGCCCAGCAAAAAGAATTCATTTTAAAAGAGGCAAAAATATTAAACTAAGGACTAAAGAGGTATCAGAAGTGAATGTAAAAATACAGTTGATGCAAAAGTAAAATGGATCCCACATTCTGGCTGATGTTCATTTCTAACACTTTGACTCCACAGAAACAAAGCACGAGGAAGGACAATGCTGTGACTGCCATCTGCTCTCAGCTCCCAAGGCCAGCTGTGACCTCAGTCTACACAAGCACAATATATCACAGGGAAAGGAAGCATTTTTCATTAAGCTCTGACACTGTACTTCTCTTTTTTCTTTCTTCTTAGTCTATGTTTTCTTAGCTGATAAACCACTAAGGGAAGCAGACAAAAATCAACTTGCCTAATTTCCTCTTTGACTATTTTAAAACTGGAACTTAGTCCACTCTGTTCAATTATGAAGAAAAGGAAATACTTCTCCACTGATAGATTAACTTATTCTAAACTTCCTTCCCTCCCAGTATAATCAATTATATTAAAATTTTAGATATTCAATTATATAGCCACAATGGTTAATTGTCTACTAGATGTTTAAATTGTTTTTAGTTTTCTTAATACTATAAAGTACACTATTGTGCTTTCACTGTAATTATATCCTTAAATTTCCAGAAATAAAGTTTTGAGAGATTGCTTTTGTGACTTTTTTTTTTTGGTACTGGGGATTGAACTCACGACCTTGCACTTGCCAGGTAGGCACTTATGCCACTGAGTTAAATCCCTGGTCCCTCGTGACTTGATTTTGTCTTGATGTGGTTTGACCAGAATATTTTTATACTGTTTATTTTCCTCTTTTCTTCCTTATATCATAAATCGTATGATATAAGAACTACCAAACATTAATTTTATTTATGGAAAGAATGAATAAATTTCTAATAAAAGTATAATTTCAACATTAAATAAACAAGACAGAAATAAGACATCAAAAAAGAGCAAAAAAAGCAACAACATGAGAATAATAAAAGGCCAACCATTAACGTGATATCTTGAAATAGTCACGAACCGTTGGAGCCAACAGTTTCTGAAATGTAATTATCACACATATAACGCCCGCTAGCTACTAACAGTAAATTTACCTTCAGAAATGCTAGAGTCATGGAACATGGTTTCAAAAGCTTGATGGGTTTCAGCAAAAGAGGGCCTTTCAGCAGGGCTCCACTTCCAGCCTGTATGACACATAAAACAGTATTAAAAGCTCCCTGCTAGAATTATATACAGTCAGCAGCACACTAAATAAAGAGGTCCATGCAACACGATGTATCCTTATTGGTTATAGCATGTTCACTGTGGTAGTGATGCAGCTGCTTCTCAGTTTGAGAAAAGCATAAGAATCCATTTCCTAAAGCTGGTTCTTGGCTCCCACTCCCTCTACTACAAGGATGCGGAGAAGCAAGAAAGTGAATTTGACAATGGCTAGCTTTTTCTTTTTAGTAGAATTGAAATGAAAAAACCAAACTTGTCCTCAAGTTTGCACCAGTCAGATTTTATAATAAAGAATCAAATATACGTATCCATAATTTAATAGGGAACTAGGAAGAAGACACTTAAAGAGTTCATATTTGACAAATGCCAATGTTCAATGAGAAGATAATATAAAACTTATGTTGAAACACAACTGCAATTTACTATTCAACTTCACACTTTCATCTTCAACAGCCCAAAACTTTTGTTTACTTATTATGGGGATTATTTTTATGCATTCTGCATAGTCTTTTTTTGAATACCCCCTTTTTTTTTGTACCAGGGATTGAACTCACAACCTTGCACTTGCCAGGCAGGCGTTTAGGCCACTGAGCTAAATGTCTGGCCCTTTTCCATAGTCTTTTGCAATCATTCTTATTTAGCTGAAAGTAGCTTTCCTCTACCTTAGTATGCAAATCCAATTCCTTATTATCTTTTTTTTTGGTACTGAAGATCAAACTCATGACCTTGCTTCTTGCCAGGCAGGCTCTTGTGCCACTGAACTAAATCCCTGGCCCTCTTATCTTATATATACAAACGTTTTTGAGAAACTGGATAAATATTTGGGTCACAGACCACTATTTTTAGGATTCCAGTAAGACTCAATAGTGTTTTATACACTACGCCAGTTGGCTGATTAATAATAAACTAAATTCAATATAAAAACAGTGAGAGGAAAAAGTGTTTTCAGTTTTGCTAATCATCTCAACTTGGCTGGTGCTTCAAAATTAAAATATGCAGAAATACTCACATGCTCTCATAAGTTCATAAACTTTAGGGGGGCATCCCTCAGGTTGTTCCATTCGATATCCTTTTTCCAGCAGATCATAGACCTGAGACAGGTCAATACCTGGATATGGTGACATTCCATATGTAGCAATTTCCCACAACAGTACCCCAAAAGCTGCATAAGGAATTAAGAAAAAAAAAAAAAAAGAGCCTAATGTTTCTTCTGCTTTATTATTTATATCATCAGATATCTTGTCCTTAAGATTTTGGATCACAATCAAATTCCATTATAATATTAACATGCCCTTTTACCATTCTTAGCATGAACTGTCTGAGATGTCTCCCACAGGAATGCTACAGGATGTCTCAAGACAGTTTTCTGAAAACATCCCAATTTTTATTTTATTACAGTGAGGGAAAATACACTATGATCATATAAAAAATCTGTGGCATAATCCAACTAATCTTGGAACTATCTTTATTTCTGAGTTTTCTGATTTTGCTTTTGTTTTGAGACAGTGTCCTGCTGTACAGTTTATGCTGGTTTCGAACTCACTATGTAGCCCATGCTGGTCTCAAACTCATGGTGATCCTCCTGCTTTAGCCTCCTGAGTGCGGCACTACAGGTGAGTGTCATCACACCCAGCTGAGTTCCAATCTTCTGTTTGTTTTGTTCCTTGTTTTGTCTTGCTGTATAGTCTAGGTTGGCCTCAAACTCACAGTAACCTTCCTACCTCTGTCTCCTTCCTAACTGCTGGGATTACAGTTTTATGATTTCAAAGTCTGCTAATATCCCAGGAGTAAAACAAAAAACTGATTCGTTTAAAATCAGACAAAATTCTCAGTAAAAACAATTTGCTTGATTTTGTCATAATTCCACTGAGTTTTTGCACTTTCTAGTAAAAAGTATCTTAGATTCCTATAACTATTTCTACTTTCTCATAACCCAAATTTCTTGACTTGTCAAATTTACTAATCCTCTACTAAGCCATTCAGCTTCTCAGAGCAGTATAAACCAGATCAATTACAAAGACAAATTATCATAACATTTTCCTGGAAAAGTTTTCTGTGTCATTGTGCTTTGCAAATGAGCAGCAAAACCTAAGTAAAGCCAGGTTTAGGGGTGTACACCTGTAATCCCAGCCCTCAGGAGGTTGACGCAGGAGGACTGTTGTAAGTTCAAGGCCAGTTTGGCTTACAAAATAAGTTCAAGGCCAGCCTGAACTGCATAGTGAGACCCTATCTCAAAAAGACCCTAAATCAAACCAAACCAAACCAAAAAAACCAAAACAACAAAAACAAACCCCAACTAATATAAAAAGTAGGGCACTTTACAGAGAAAGAATCATTACAACTGTAATTTAATTTGAGATTTAGACTGTGACCTCTTTGAAGGCAGACTTTTTATTGACATGGGATCTTTCTATGTTGCCCAGACAGATCTTGAACTTGCTGCCTCAAGTAATGCTCCTGCATCAGCCTCTCAAGAAGCTCAGACTACAGACATGATATTATGCTCTAACACAATACTTTTTTGATAATTATATAAAAGGAAAGCTTCAAAAAATTAAGATACGTATAGCCAGGCATGGTGGCACACACCTATAATCCCAGCATGCAGGATGCTGAGCCAAAAGGATCGCTGTGAGTTTGAGGTCAGCCTGAGCTTACATAGTAAATTCAAGGCCAGTCTGAATTACATTGTAAGACTGTCTTCAACCCCCCCCCCCCACAAAAAAAAGATTTAAGACATTTATATTTATAAAGACAATATAAACTGAGTGTGGTAGCACACACTAATAATCCCAGCACTCTGAGAGGCCAAGACAAAAATATTTCAAATTCTAGCCCACCCTGCATACCTAGTCTCAAAAAAGTTTCAGAATGGGGTGATGTTGTAGCTCAGTATGAAGGCCCTAGGATCAATTACCAGTACTGGGGAGGAAGGAAAGGGAGGGAAAGAGAGAAAAATTGAGACAGGGGCACATGCAGAAGAAGAGGAAGGATGGTAAGAAGGAAGGAAGGAGAAAGGAAGGGAGGGAAAAAGGGAAAGATGTGGAGGGACATAAGACAAAAAGAAAACAACAACATATATGAGGGAAACAAACAACATATGCAGGAAAAAGTCCCTTATAATCTTACCCCAAACATCTGATTTAATTGAGAAGGTATTATAGGCAAGACTCTCTGGTGCTGTCCATTTAATGGGAAATTTGGCTCCAGCATGAGCAGTGTAGGTATCTCCAGTCATCAGTCTACTTAAGCCAAAGTCAGCTACTTTTACCACATGGTTTTCTCCAACTAGGCAGTTACGGGCTGCAAGATCTCTGTGGGAAAGAAAACCTCAGTGTAATTTCATTCGATCAGTAAGAAAAATCGTCATGAATACACTATTCTTGGTTCTTTGTTTTATAAGCAGAGTTGATAAATACTGATAAATGTAGCAGTTTGTAATAATCACTAACATGGTAGAAAGTCATTAATTTATACTGTTTGTAGAATATTCATCAAGAGGAAGTTATGTGATGCCAGAAAAACAAGGGTTTTATAAAATGAGTTTCTCTGAATAAGCACATGGGGATAGAGGAGCAATAGATGCTTTTCTACAAGGATTTAAACATTTTACTAGAATAGCTGTTTTTCAAATTCAGCCACCAGGTGGAGCAAAAGCACCTTGGAACTCTGCCAACTGTACTGAGAAAAAAGGTCTCTCAATACTTTTATCAGGAAAACTGGTTTAAAAGTTGGAAATAACATTATAAGAGGCCCCGTGAAACACAGAATTCCTTTCTTAAATTATCTGAAAATTGCTGAGAAGGTTTTCTTCCCTTCATCTTTCTGTCAAGCAAGATCTCTTGGTAGTGAGCCACAGGAATAACCAGGTTTTACCCACCTATGAATAAAATTCTTCTTCTCTAAATACTCCATTGCGGACGAGATCTGAGTGGCCATGTAAAGCAGCACAACTGCGGTCACCTCTTCTCGGTTGCATTCGCGGAGATAATCAAGCAGATTCCCATACGGCATGTATTCAGTCACAATATAAAACGGTGGCTCCAAGGTACACACACCTGGCACAACAGTGCAGCGTGTTTTATTAGCATATATTCAAAAACTCCAAACCATTCTGCTAAGAATGATTTGACAATGTTTAGGTCTAGTGAGGCAGTAATTTTATCCCCCTTTTACCATCACATTCTTTGAAAATGATATACAATATGGTAAAAACTAAAAGTTGGCCAAGGGAATTCTTTGCTTCTGTTTTACTAAAAATTCTCTAAAAAATTTCCAGGGTTCATATGTAACCCCTGAGTCCTCTCCTCATCTGTATACAAAGATTTCACTCACATATGACAGCTCTTTATAAAGAACCAACAGGGACAGGGATTTAGCTCAGTGGCCTAAGCGCCTGCCTGGCAAGCCTAAGGTCGTGAATTCAATCCCTGGTACCACCAAAAAAAAAAAAAAAAAAACCTACAATAAACCACTTTATTTGCGACAATTTGGCCCAATGAGAACATTCAAAGAAAAGTGATCCATTTTGAAAAAGCCTTAGTCAAACGTTTGTGACCTGAACAGATAAATTAATCTATTCCAGTAATAGCACTTCCTGCTTGCTTGGGTAAACTGATGGCTGTGGTCACAATATTTAATCTGCTTTTTTTTTTTTTAAACTGTGAAACAATCTCCGTATTTTGTACGAATGTTCTGTGATGTCTTGGTACCATTTCAATATATGTGCTGCCAAGATGAACATCTTGCTACTGTGATAAATGCTTCTGAGCTTTGAGCTGGAGTAATCACTATAAGCTGGTGAGTTTTACATACTGGAATCAACGATGGTCACAGATTTTGTGTTTGAAACAGACCTGAGTAAAAACTTTTTTTTTTTTGCAGTATTGTGGCCTTGTGCATCTTGGTAAGCATCCTACCACTGACTTTTTTAATACTCATTTTGTGGTGCTGGGGATCCAACCAAGGGACTCACTTCTGCTAGGCAAGTGGCCTACTACTCAGATACATCTTCAGGTCATAATTGTTTACTGAAGTTGCTTTACACTTAGAGTTTCCACTATCGTAATTCAAAAGAAGAATTTGAAGATAATTAAGGACTCAAAGGCCAAGTATCTTTCAAGGAAACTTAAAGCTCCAGCTTCCTTACCTAATAGTTGGACCAGATTAGGATGCTTGATTTCTTTCATCACTGCAGCCTCTTTTAGGAACTCCTCCACTTCCATAGTATCTTCCTAAAAAAAAAGAATAAGGTAAGAAAGAAAAAAAAAAAAGGAGCATACCCCTTTCTTAATCTTCTGAATCAACTCACAATCCTATAACTTTAGTTTTAAAAGGAGTATTTTTTTCTTTCCTACATGTATTGAGATGCTCATGTGATTTTCTGGGCCTTACTTTTGTTTATGTAGTGTACTACACAGTAACTGCTTTGCGTATTTTGAACTACTCTCACATCCCTGGATAAAGCCTACTTGGTTATGATATATAATCTTTTTGGTGATTTGTTGCATTCTGCTTGTCAGTATCCTGTTAAAAGATTTTTTCATCCATGCCCTGAGACACTGGCCTGTAGATTTTACAGCTGGGTCTTTGACTTTGGAATCAGAGTAATGGTAGCTTCCAGGAATAAGTTTAGAAGTATTTCTTCCCTTTCAATTTCATTAAAGAGTTTTGTGGCATTTTATCTTTACAATACATTGGTGAGTTCTCTGAGTTCTTGGTATTTCTGGTCAGTAGATTTTTTAGAATTATTGCTTCCACTTCATTATCTGTTATTTGATTCTTCATGGGTTTTATGTCTTCTTGGTGCAGGTTTGGTAATTCATACGTATCTAGTGACCTGTCCATTTCTTTTAGATTCATTTTGTTGGAGTATAATTTTTCATAGTATTTACTACTGATCTAGTAGTGGTGTCCTCCATATTGACTTGTCTTTTTCTTTTTGTGGAGAGAGGATCTTGATAGGTAGCCTAGGCTGGCCTCGAACTTGTGGTGATCTTTCTATCTCCATCTTCCAAGTGATGGGATTACATGCACCACCAAACCTAGCCATTCTTTTTTAATTTATTGATGTAGATCTTTTTCCTTCTTTTCTAAATTTAGCTAAGTGTTTATTTCAAAGAACCAGCTCTTTAATCTGTGTGCTGATCTTTCTGATTTCCATCAATGGGCTGGGTTTGAGTTTGGACTGTTCTTGTTTTTCTGAGACCATAAGGTGTATCATTAGATTATCTGAGCTTGCTCTCCTTTTTTGATCTGAGCTTTTTAAAAAATACACTTCATTCAGGACTGCTTTGTGTCCCATAGATCATGGTATGTTATACTGTATTATAGTTTACCTCTAGACAGTTTAATTTCTTTATTTTTTCTGTGTGCTCCACTGAGTATTCAGGAGTATGCTATTTAATGTCCAGATGAATGTAAAATTTCTGGGGTTTCTATTGGAATAGATTTCTAGTTTCAGAGTGCTATGATCTATTTCCCCATCAATTTTGAAAGGTAGTTTTGCAGGATATTATTAGTCTAAACTAAAAGGTATTTTCTTTTAGGGTTTGAAACACTTCAGTCCAAGCTCCTAGCTTTTGAAGTTTCTGTTGAAAAAATCTGCTCTATTCCTAAGAGATTTACCTTTATAATAGTGACTCATTTTTCTCTGAGAGCGTTTAAGAGTCTGTCTTCATTTTGGATTTCTATTATGTGCTGTGAGGAGCTTCTTTTCTCTTAATGATTATTTGGGGTTCTACATGCTTCCAAAACATGTTGAGTTCTTTCTCCAGACTTCGTTTTCTGTTGTAACTTCTGTATGCAGGTTCTTTATTCCATGTGTGCTGCCCTCTAACTTCTAATTTTTCTCTAACTTCAGTTAGTCTTAGGTAGTCATAATATCACCTAATAGCTAGTGGATCAATTTTTTTTGCTTTGTTATTTTTAGGTACCTCTGAGTATACTGTTCTTGAGGTATGACATGCTCTCCTCACATAGGTCATTTCTGCTTTTTTTTTTTCCCCTTTCTTTTCTTTGGGGGGTGGGGAAGTACCAGGGATTGAACTCAGGACCTTGGCTGCCAGGCAGGCACTTGTGCCCCTAAATCTTTGCCTCATTTCTGCTTTTGTAATATCCAACAGATTTTTTTTTTCCTCCAGAATATTCCTTTGGAACTTTTTCACTAACTCTATTTCTTTAGTAAATTTATCATTCATGTATTGAATAGTTTTGGTTAGCTCTTCCAATTTTCTATATGACTCTTTACATTGATAAATTTTGTTAGTTCTACTACCTGTTTGGTGATAATTTGAGTTCACTGATTTTCTTTGCTGGTTCTTTGATCATTTTGTATAGCTTAGCAATCTGACATTTGACCTGGATCTGCTTTGAAAGAACTGGGAGACTGTAGGGGATTTTTTTCTTTAGAGGGTTTTGTTGCCTATTTTTTTTAAAGTTTCTTTGTGTGTGTGTGTGTGTGTGTGTGTGTGTGTGTGTGTGCGTGCACATGTGCATACTGAGGATTAGGTTAAATAGAGTGAAGAAATTTGCTAGTATGAAGATCTCTTTAGTTAGGTTCAGTTTTCCAGGGATGTGACCTTAGCCTTTTTTGTTAAGAGGTACTATCTGCCATGTCAACGTATTTAGCTCACCTGGGGTTGGACTCAGTCATATTTTTGGCTTCTAGGCTTTTGGCAATTTGCTATAGGCCACAAGGCAACAGAAATTGTGGCAGAGCCATGGAAGCTTCCAAAGTAAAAGAAATGAAACCTGGCAAATAATTCTGTAACTTGACACCAGGTTGGTTAAACAGGAGACAGGGTAGTGTCAGGAAAAAGATTTCTGTGAATTTAAGAACAAGAAATGATCTAATTGCATGGAAACAGGAGGAGCAAGAGGAAGGAAGATAAGCACAGTAAGAAAGCACCCAGATTCTTAGACATTGCATAAAGATTTCTCTCCAGTAGGGGTCGTTCTCAGGAAGCTCAACAGCTTGTTTTGCTTTGTAACTTAGAATTTACTTGTAAACTCCCACCTAAGATCTACATTGACAGCCACAAGAGATAAACCTTTCCCACACATAGGTTTCACTGTGTTACAGTGAATAATCTACCCTTACACTGTCACTAAAGGCAACAGGGTTAATCACAGTTTGCTGATGTTTGACACCAGTGGGTGGAAAGTTTCAAAGTTATTTCCAAGTGATTCAGCACATACACAAAAAGATGCCTGAAAACTGTAATTTTCAGCTACCCACCTTCAATGTTTTCACAGCAACTGTAAGGCTATATTTTTTCCAGACACCAACATAAACCTCTCCATACTGACCGCCCCCAAGTTTGTGCTTCATGGTAATATCTGTTCGTTCCATTTCCCACTTGTCATGGATGGGGGACACACCATAGACTGTTGGTTTATTGCACTTGGGTGCTGGGTAGTGTAATGTTGTCACCAGCCCATCAGCCACTGTGGAATGATGGTGAACAAGCTCTGCCAAGGTGCTAAAGCGGCTCTCAGCAGTCACATACACCTGACGAGAAAGGGAAAAAGGTTAAACACCTTGAAAACAGATTAGTAGTTTTTAAAAAAGAAAAGAAAAAAGCCCTTATTTCACTGACCTGAAGATATAAAGACAGAAAGTTATCTTCACTGAGGTAAACAGTTAAGCGATGGTGGCAAGGGGAGACTAAAACTTCAGTTTGTTTTCTACTATACTGGGGATTGAACGGAAGGTCTCTGCTCTGAACAACATCCTCCCATTTATTTATTTGTTTACATATTTATTTCATTTAGAGACAGGGTCTTGCTATGTTGCTACACTGGCCAGGCTGGACTTGAACTTGCAATCTTTCTCCCTTAGTTTCCCAGGGTGTTTGGCTTAATTTTACTTAAACTGGCCGTCCTACTTTGCCTAAGTCAGACTTGGGAAAACTTTCAATGTTTCACTTGGGATCATCAAACTCATTGCTTTCTCAATAATTCCATACCAACAGAACTGCAGAATTCAAATATATAAGAAAGATAGATATTCTGATTAAAGCAGGTGACAGTAACTGGTATACTGCAAAAGTTAATGAAACACTAAAAGTCCTGCAGACAGCATAAATTGCCAACCACTGATTCAGGTTTTGAGAATGATTAGGAGGAGGGTACTATAATTTTGTTAAATTATCTTATAATTTTTATTTAATTACACATACTTTTGAATGTCTAGGCCATTTTTTTTAAAAAGACGCACAACTGGATTTCTGAGTCAATAGCAAAATAGTTCATTTGTAATAAGCAGTAAGAAAAGTAAAGTAAGATAGTAGTCTTTAGCTTTATTCTCCAAGGCAGCCTGCTACTTTTTACAAAGAAACTTGTTTTATTCTACACACAAAAGTATACAATTCACAAATGGAGAATTGATGATGCTTAAAAATAAACTCTGGGGGCTGGGGATTCAGCTCAGCAGCATAAGTGCGTACCGATCCCTGGTACCAATTAAAAAAAAAATTCTGCATGTAAGTTACCCACACCAAGGATTTAACACAACCAGCACCCCAGATGCCCACTGGACCCGACCAGCTTTTTACTCCTGCAAAGGTAACCTCCATACTCATTTTTAACATTTTTAACATCTTAGATTAGCTTTGCTTGAAACATATGTATATGAAATCATGCAATATGATTTGTCTGAGGTCTTCTTTCACTTAACCTTTTTTATTGGAATATATTTACACACCACAAAATTCACCATTTAAAATAACACAATTCAGTAGTTTAGTATACATACAAAGCTGTCCAATCATCACTATCTAAACTCAGAAATAAATCCAGTTAGTCCCACATTCTTCCCATCCCAACCCTATGGCAATCACTAATCCTTTTCAATCAATTTTATATATATGAGATTCATCTATAGCAGGGACCAGCAAACCTTTCTATAAAGAGAGAAGACAAATATTCCTGGCTTGTGACCATGCTTTCTCTATACAATGCATACCACACAGAAGGAAAAATGGAAAAAAAGGATTCAACCTAAATTACTGTTCAATAGAAGAGAAACTGAAGCAAGCTTAGGCTTTATAATTTATAAAATATAACAGTTCCATTACAACATACTTATTCTTTCTTACATGATTGGTCTTCCCAACATGCAAACGGCTAAGTGACTCAATGATCTACTTATATGGACATAAATTAATGATCAACATCAGTCTCAAGATATTAGAGACTACTATGAAATGGCTTTGAGCAGGATTTAAATTTTACTAATTGGTTTTCTATGTTTATCTGTGAGTCTGTCCTAGGCCTCAGCCCCTTGCCTGGCGACAGGAGCTGATTCACAGTAAGTGAACCTCTCTGAATCACTGGTCTTGGCTGAGGCCTGTAGTGGCCTGTGAGGCCAGAGATATCTCAAAGGGCAAGATAAGGCCAGCTGTGGACCCTCTGGCTCCAACCCCAATTAACAAGGTAGAGACTGCAGCTGCAAAGATTACTCACTCCTGCAGTTTCACTTCTACCATGTCTTCATAAGACAGTTCTACTAACTGACTTGATTCATGACTTGGAGATGTCTTTGAAGTGACTCCCAAGGTCCTGCTCATTGCCTGCACTTTCCTCAGTTTCTCTGCCCTTTTTCCTTGGTCCTAATGTAAGTGGACTAATCCAGAGAATCCTTGTCTTTACCCTGGAAGTCTCAAGCTTAATTAAAGGATTTTGACCCTCCTAGAGCCCTAAAAATTATACAACTTGTCTCTTTTAATTTAGCCTCTGTACATTCGTTTGGGAGATCGGGGATCTAGGTCAGAACCCGGTATCAAGAAATCTACATTCTTATTCTGTGAACTTTCTATTAAAGCTCACTCTAATTTTCAACTCTGTAAGATTAATTTAGAAATTCTACATCAATATACTGAATGTATATCTGATCAAGTGAGGATTAGAACAGCCAACTTATATGTTTCCCTTGTTACCTTCAAATGTAGCTTACCTTTAAATTAATGTACTTTTCTAATTTTAAAGTTACTTTTGGTTTTTTAATTTTATTTTGTTTTGTTTTTGTCTTTTTGAGACAGTGTCAAACTACACAGTCCAGGCTGGCTTTGAGCTTACTTTGTAGCCCAGGCTGGCTCCAATTCACAAGGATCCTCCTGCCTCAGCCTCTGGCTGGGATTACAAGCATGCACCACCACACCCAGCCGTGTTTTTAATTTAAATTAATGTATTATTTTTGAAAAGAGCAAAATCTCTCTAGCATGCCAAATAGCCGGAATTCACAAAGCAAGTATTTAATTTCATGTTAGACATTAGAAAACACAGTTCCCTTTAGTCAGTCTGAGTACTGTCTCTACAGGCCAGACAGCCCACAGAGGAGGGGGTCCTGGAAGGCCTTACCTTGCCATCTGCCGTGGTGTTGATCCTGTAGTGGTACACGCGCCCCTCGTACCTGAGCGAGATGGACAGCTGCCCGGGGCTGCTCTCACTTTCTCGCACCAGGAAGCTGCCATTGATCAGGCTGCTGAGCAGATACTCTGCTGCGCTGCGGGACACTGGTCCATGGTACCAGGAATGTTTTTCCAGGCTATTAACTGGGGTGATGTAGTTGCTTGGCACCCAACCCTGTCCATTCTTAGAGCGAACTTCACTCCACTCACCATTCTGGTTGTAACCAAGGACTCGAAGCTTTTCACCTAGTCATCAAGTCATCACAGAACAAAAGGAAAGACATTAAGATTTTATTTCAAGTGGATGCAGTGTAATGTCAAACTATAAATTAATTGACTCAAAGATTTTTAAGCCCCCAGTTTTTCAAATAATGAAAAAAAGTTGGTTGCTCACCACATCCTCATTGATTTTTAGTTAGTAGCTTTAAACTGCATGAACATAGTAAGAAATGGCTTTCTGGCATTAACTGTTTTTTTTTTTTTTTTTTTTTTGTAAAATGTCCTCAAGAAACTGTATGGTATACAAAGATTTATTGAAGCCAGGCATGGTAGTGCACACCTGTAATCCCAGTACTTGGGAGGCTGAGGCAGGAGGATGGCCATGAGATTCAGTTCAGTATGAGCTACAAAGTGAGTTCAAAGTCAGACTGAACTATATAGCAAGATCCTGTGTCCAAAAAAGCCAAACAAGAAACCCCACTTGTATGGTTCAGTGTTAACGATAACCAAGGATTAGTGATAAGATATGTGAAATATAAAGTTACTTCTAAATTTCCCTTGCAGATGGGCATAATGGCACCCATCTGTACAGGTGCACACTTACAATCAGGAGGCTGAGGCAAGAGGATCAAGCCCAGCCTGGGCTACATATTCAGTTCAAGCACAGCCTGAACTACATGATGAGACTCTGTCTCAAAAACAAAACAAAAAACCTCGGAACAGTCAACAAAACTGTTAATGTAAATAAACAAACAAAACTATAAACCAAAAAATTTCCAAAAATATTTTCAGCAAGAAAAGTATTTAGCAAGGGGTGGGCAGTGAAGTTTCCCAAAACAATTATTTCCAGGACTCAGTTTTAAAATAGTTATAGTTTCCTAATATAGTTATGTTTTCCCTTCCCATTTTCCATAAAGAATGAATCATTCCCATTCATTCCTCTAAAATTAGTGTGTAGAAAGTCACGCTGACTCTGAAGTTGGAGTCCAAATCCAAAGCCACTTAAAGGCTCTTTGCCCGTCAACATCAATGTCCTTGGTTTTTCTATTAAAGTTGTGAACATCAAGTTTAGACTTCAATATACATTTTGCCTTTATACTTGTGGACTGAGAAGCTTAGCAAAATAAGGAAGATGAAAGAGGTCTCACTAGCAATACCTAAATGTTAATCTAAGGATCCTTGTAGCGCCTTAGGCTCTTACCTCTAAGAGAGGCAAACCTTCCTACAGAGTTCACACCATTTCCTCAGTGTCAGAAAGCAAAAGAAAGCCAAGTCAATTAGAATCAGAAGTTACCAGCAAAAAAAAAAAAAAAAAAAAAAAAAAAAGAAGTTACCAGCAAAAGTTAATGAGGAAAATCTCAAAATAATTACTTTGGTAGCCATTGGCCTTTTTCTAATGGCCTACAAAAATGTCTGCCGTAAGATAATTTCCTATCATTTCTGATTATCTCATCTGAGACATCTGGATATGAGACAAAACACAAAAATGTGTATGTACACACATACACGTGAGTATGTAAACACATATTGTATACAGACAGCAGTATGTGTGGTACGGTATATATTTGTGTGTATGTATATACATTATATATATATATATATATATATATATAGACCAACTACATCAGAAAAAAAAAAAGAAACTCTTGTTAGAAAAACTAAAACAAACGTGTTACTCTATAGCTTTTCTGTATTAGTCTGTAAGGACTAGAAATAAAGATTCTGTGAATGTATATTTTTATACTGCTGCATCCTTAAACAGAATTGATAATTGTAGGCTATCATAATACAGACAGCTAAGTTAGGTGGAAATATAGTAGGCAGTCAGACAGGGCTGGGTCTTAGAGGGAGTCCGTGCAGGAGATGAGAACACATCAGAACTGTGGCTAGAGGCCTGAAGATAAAGTCACAACGGCCTCATTTACACACTTCCCTTATTGGTACCACCCTTTTGAGATTTCCCATTATCTCATTAGGGGTGGGCCATCCTCTCTCAGTTTTCAGACCACTAAAAATAAGACTAAAACTAAGACTACAAGAATAAGACTGCTAAGACTGAAGACAAGGCCAAGACTACAGATTATCAACCAATGTTAATGATCTCACTCATGTACCCCTGCTGTGTACTCATGTACATTAGACCAATGTCACCTAAGCATCTATACTTGCAATCTTGTTGGCTGATCATAATTTTGACCCCTGTACCTCTTTGTGCTTTTGCTCTATAAAACTTTCTTTGAGAAGTAGCTTATTGGCAGCCCATTCAGGACCCCTCCTGTCTCTCAGGAGCTAGTCCTATTCCCCATTCCTTTTCTCTAATAAATTTTTCTATCCTTTTTTTTTGCAGTACCAGGGATTGAACTCATGACCTCACACTTGCCAGGCAGGTGCTTGTGCCACTAAACTAAATCCCTGGCCCAATTTTTCTATTCTTAATCTCCATTGTTCTTTAGAATTCATTCTTCAACTTCAGGGAACACAAACAACGTATTTGGCTTTGCTTTTGTTAATTTTACTTTAAAGAGAAAAAAGATAAAATTTTAAAACATGAAAATTAGAGGGTAGCAATGGTTAATACATTGCATATTGTATATTGTTACCTTTAAGTTACTGAGAGTGCAAGATATCTGCATTTAATTGTCCAAACAATGTTAGCACAAACCATTGTTTTCAATGAACTAAGAGAAATAAATACCTTAATTATCATTTACACACACACACACACACACACACACACACACTATTTGAGCTTCTCACACTAAGGAGACAATATGATGTTTACACAAGGGAGTCTGATTCATTTTGCATGAGTATGGTCTCAAGCTGCATCCATTTACCTATAAGTTTTTAGTTTATCTTTCTTTATGGCTAAGTAGTACTTCGTTTTATAAAAATACATCTTTTTATCCATTCTCTAGTTGACAGACATTTAGGTTGTTTCCAACATCTAGCTATTACAAATTGTGCACATAAATATGTGTGCACATGTATTGCTGAGGTACGATGTTTTTAATTCTTTTGGGAAGATGCTAAGAAAGGGAATAGCTGTGTCAAATGGGACCTCCAATCCTAGTTTTTTTGAAGTAACTACACACTGAGTTCCATATTGCTTACACCAGTCTACACACCCACTAACAGAGGAGAAATGTTCCTTTTCCCCACAGTTCTTCCAGCATTTATTATTGGTTGATTTCTTGAAAATAGCCAATCTAAGGGGTTGGGGATTTAGCTCAGCGGCATAAGCGCCTGCTTTGCAAGCAGGCAGTCGTGAGTTCAATCCCTGGTACCGATATAAAGGAAAAAGACCAAAAAAAGAAAATAGTCAATCTTTCCAGGGTGAAATGGAATCTCAGTGTTGTTTTAATTTACACATCTCAAATGACCAGTCATGTTGAACATTTTTTCACATATTTATTTGTTGTATTTCCTCATCTGAGAAGTGTGTATTATCTCAGATGCTCATTTTTGGATTGCGCCTTTACATTTGGGAAGTCTGATTTTTTTGAGTTCTTTGTATATTCTGGATAGTGATCCTTTGTCTGAGAAACAGCTGACAACCATTTTCTCCTACACTGTGAGTTGTCTCTTCACTTTGTTGGTGGTTTTTCTTGCTGTGCAAAAGCTTTTTAATAAAATAGATCCCAGTTGTTAATTCTCTGTAATTGTTCCTGTGTTTTATTTATTAAGTCTTTGCCTACACCAATGTCTTCAAGTTTTATCTATTTTATCTTCCAATAGATTTAATACATTTTAATATTTAGATCTTTCATTCATTCTAGAACTCAGCATATTTGACACCTAGCATTTCCCCTATATCAACAACAAGGGTACAGCCAAGTATCCTCAGTGTTTGTGTGTTTACTTTTTTTTTTGGCAATTAGGAGGAATTTTATTATTTTATGGGAGTTTTTATTTTTTACTACCATGGAAATAAAGCAAATGCTGGGGCTTTCGCAGAAGAATCCTAAAAGGAACATTTTTCTTTTCTGTTTTGTTAAAGACAAGACCTTATTATGTTGCCTAAGCTGGCCTCAACCTAGCTTTGGCAACCCAGCCCAGTCCAGCTGCCTGGCTGAATCTACGTATTTGCCTCAGCCTTTCAAGGACCTGAGACTACAGGCACACACCACCGTGTCCAGCAGAATTTTTCTTTTTACATCAAGCAAAATATCGTCTTCGAATTACTTTAATTTTAGCCTGTATTTTCTTTCAAAATTGTAAAATAGCTTTAAGTATGATATTATTTTATATATTAAGAACCCAGCATAAAAATCTGGCATTTCATGGATTTTAAGAGAAACCACCGTTGGCCATAAGATAAAGGGAATTCCAGTCTTTGAACAGCACACTACTAGCTGCTATAACTGGTAACTGAGAAATAACAGATTTTCTTTATTAATGTTTCCTTGGTGATTATTGAGCTACCTTGGAAAGTAATGAAAAAAAATTATACACAGAGGAAAGAATGTTCTGAGTCACTGCTTTGAAAATTTCTTTACTGAAGTCTCAGTAAAAGTAAAACAGAGTCCATTTTGTTGTCCAAATAGACTACAACAAGGTCTCACTATGTAGTTCAGGCTGTCTTTGAACTCACTATGTAGCCCAGGCTGGCCTCGAATTTGCAGCGATCCTCCTGCCTCAGTCTCCCAACTGCAGGCATGCACCACATCCAGCAGTACTTTGTTTTTTCCCTGAACTTGATGTAAAAAATGCTTTTGTCTTAAACATAATCCCTACACATATTATCACAACCCTACCCCTAAACTATCCAAATCTTTAAATAAGGTTGATACCAGAAGATACTTCTACTTTTCATATGCCTTTGAAAGTCCTGGCACTTGCAAACACGCAATCATGCTCACTCAGACATACCTATTCCTCAGTTTGACAGACTCAGTTCTAAAGAGTTCTGCTTCTGATGAATCTGATTTTTAAAACTGATGCTTAAAAAAGTTGATGTACATAAAAATTTTATAGAAAGAGCAGTATGTTCCTTTAGCGGGTAGAAGCTTGTCTCTGATATAATCATTACCATCTCAAATCTATTCTGAAACTTAAGATACGTCCAATCCATGTGTACAATGAAAATGACCCACTTTCTTGTTTCTCATATAAGTTAAGACTTTTCTCACCTTTGTTAAAAAAACAAAACAAAACAAAACAAAAAAAAACTGATCAGGGTCTTGTATTCCCTTTTGCAAGAATTTGCCACTGAAATAAACTACTACTCTCTATTATTCTCTACTCTTAACAAGAGAAATCCTTTCTACTATTTCATTATCCCTTAGAAACAAAAACGGTAGACATTTAGGTCATTTAGGCTAGTGCCACTCAAATCTGGTCCACAATGAAATAAAATCTTTGTGCCAGAATGTAAACACTGGACTACTATCTTTGTGCAGAAAGTCATGTTCCAAGACTGAAAAATGTTTGCTGAACAAAATAATTGTGTGTTTAATGATACAGTTGGTTTGCATTTTGGATGCAAGTCCTTAATCTCACTCTGGACTTGGCAATGAACAGTTCTCATATAGGCAATTGGGTACGCACAAGCACTTATGGGTAGCACTGGGGTCTGGCACTTTGACTCATCTTGGACACAGTTCAATTAGAACAGATGTACAGTCAGTCTTACCTCAGTGGTAGATGAATGCTAGCATAGTACACACTACAGAATTCCAAGAATAAGGATATTTTTCTAAGGTGCTTTAACTCATTTTATCTGTAACAAATGCTAAAAAGTAAAGTTTTATTTTGTAGGGCAATAACCCATGCAAGGTAAAACAGAATGAAACGTAAGTTTCTGGACCCAAGTCACCCAATTAATTTCAGTCAGTGGCAGAAAACAAAACAGGCCTCTTCATTTTTTAACCACTGTGAAAGCTAGAAACTGACAGGATGTCACATAGAAACCTCACCTTTAGTGATGCTGAGTGTATTATCACCACTTGCTACAAAATCATAAAGTGCAACAAAGAGATTAGGGTCACTCTCAGTGGCTCCAAGTAAGTTCTCCTTGGAGCTCCACCTGATGGCTTCAGTCAGCGCCTGGGATTCAGCATCACAACCGTAGGGGCGGTGCAAAGCTTCTGAAAGACACAAAAAGGGAAAGGAATTGATACACACAGCTCAGCTGCTGGTCTGTAATGACAACTCCAAAGTGGGACAGAACTATACACTTCATGGAGTCATGAAGGAACAAATAGGTACTGCATTTCCTAAGCATGAAGCTGCCATTTATTTGTTGAAAATATAAAAAATAGTGAAAAGACCACAAAACAGGAGCTTAGCTCTGATTTATATGCATTTACTAAAATCATACATAAATTAATAGCAAAGGCACAGGGTTTCTCCAAATGAAAAGAATTGTTATAGAACAAGACATGGTTATAAGTATTTTATAAATCCAGGTCCTCTATTTATACAAAAATTAAAGAAATAGTGCCTCTGGCAAAATAATCCTAAAACTACCTGATAAGAGAAGGAACATAACTTGGTTTAATACAAAATATCCTTAACATATAAAAGTATTTTTTTATGTTAAGATGACTTACAACTGTTCATTGTTTTATTGACTTTTTTTCTAACTTTTTTTTTGGTACCAGGATCAAACTTGCAACCTTGTGCTTGTCAAGCAAGCACTTGTGCCACTGAGTTAGCCCAGCCTTCTAACTCCAATTTCTTTTCCTGGGCAGATTTTTGTAAAATGTTGACAACTTAGCCATAGAAAACAAGTATAAATGGGGATTCATTGAGTTTATCTATGTGCAGTGGTTGAAGACTTGTAAGACCTATTTCTTCAAGGTTTTATAGTTTCTGTACTTACCCTAAACAGGTCATCTTTATACCATCCTAAAACACCTGTTTTCCATAACCCAGTACAAGTATACAAGAAATACACTGCTTTTTGAGCAGTGACTTTCTTGATCCTTGAGACTATTTAGTGGCTGTCTGCCAAAGCAAACTATCCAACTGTTTACATCATATAACATTTTTCTAGAATATTTCTCTCTTTCCAGGCCTTAGTTCAGATTCCCAGCACCTCTCACCTGGACTACTGCCTCCAGTCTTGTCTGCCTCAAATCCATCCTCCACACAGCTGGCAAAGTGATCTATTTAAGACAAAAATTTGACCACATCACTTTTCTTAAATCTCAATAGTTCATCACCAACTAAAGTCTCCTTACTATGTCTTCAAGACTTTTCATGATCAGAGAGTGAGGATCTACTTCTCCAGCTTCCCCTTAACCTTCTCCACATCTCTTTAACACACATGATGCTGCTTCCCACCTTGTGGCCTTTGTTCATGTAGTCCAATATACCTGGAATGGCACTGCTCTTCTAGTAATCAAATAACCTCCCTGTACAGAAGCTCATATCCACCCCCCTCCACCCTTTCCTTTCAAAAACATGACACTTTTTTTTTTAGACTGGGGATTGAACTCACGACCCTGCATTTGCCAAGCAGGCACTTATGCTGCTGAGCTAAACCCCTAGCCCACATGACACCTTTTCTACGGGAGTTTTCCAAACTTCACTATGCACCCTCTATCAATCTGCCAAGGTGAATTATCCAACTATCTGTGTCATATAACACTTGTTCTATCATGTCTCTCTCCTTTTACTCAGTCTTAATTAAAAATTGGCTCTATCATATTTAAATAGGAAAAACCTTTAAATCTGTGGTCTTAAGTCCTTCTCTACATTTTCTAAACTTCACAACAGACTCCTTAGGGGAGCTGCGGATGTAGCTCAGTGGTATACCACTTGCTTGGCAAGCATGACATCCTGAGTTCAATTTCCATACCAAACAACAACATACTCCTTAGGGATAACAACTGCATCATTTGAGAGAGGGGTGTCACAGATTAAATAATGTGGTAAGTATTATATTAGCTGAACTAACTTACCCAGAGTGACAGGAAACAACATAATGTATCTTAATCTTAAGAATCATATCACCCAGGGATAAAAATTGGCTTCAAAGGCAAACAATGGCACACACCTGTAAATCCCACCCTTGGGAGGCTCAGATAGTAGGATCATGAATTCAAGGCTAGTGTGGGCTTCACAGTGACACCTTATATGTATATATATATATATATATATATATATATATATATAAAATAAAATAAAATAAAAAATTAAGGCTAGGGGTATAGCTTTGTGTGGAAACCTCCGGTTCAATCCATAATACTATGGGGGAGGGCATCTTCATAACTATATGATACAGACAGAAACTCCTTCTGTAGGCTGAAATCTAAATTTCCCAATGAAGAGTTTGTTTCACTTTACCACATGCCTTCTGTTAGCTTGTGTCTAGATGTCCCCTCAAAGCCTCATGCGGTTATAGGTGAGGCTTTTTCAGAAGTGGCTGGATCAGACGTGTGACTGATTCATGGCACAATGCTAGGATAAGGGGTAATTACTAAATCAATCCACTGACTGGTTTGGTACCATCCTAATCCCAGAAGCCTGGATACAATGTAAAGGACAGAAAGAGCTTATCTTGCCCCTTGCTTGTTTTACTATCTTCTGTCTGCTATGAACTGTGTCTCTCGTGATGCTTGTCTGCTGTGCTACCCCTGCCAGGGAACAAGTTGACAATGGACTGAAACCTCTACAACCAGTGAGCTAAATGAACCTTTCCTCTCTTAACTTTGGGCATCAGGTATTTTGTCAAAGCATTAAAAAAGTCTTTCTCTGAAAAGAAATATAGTATATGTTTAACATTCTACAGTTAATCAAATTACATTTTATATTAGACTATTATGTTAAACTTAAAGATGTCCTGAAAAATTAAAACCTGCATGTTGCTCCTCATTTAAACAGAACTGCAGTGAATGGAGTAAATTGTGTGCTCGGATAATTTAGGATTACCAAATAAACAAAATCCCATGTTATAAGAAACATTCTTCAAATGGGTTTTATGTTCTGCATTTTTTTTATTTTAATGAAAAAATTATCAACTCCAGCAGATTTTCCACTGGTCTACAAAATGACGGTCTTTTATTAAAATTAAAAGCCTTGTCAAAAGAAATATAGGGAAAAAATTCACATTTATTGTGGTTCACACTGAACACAAGATCCATGTTTGATACATGGTTTTTGCCCATGACAGTGGTAACACAATGTTTTATAATTATTACTGTGATGATTACCAACAGTCTCAAGTAGATTTCATTCTTTTTAGAAGAGGAAAAAGTCTCTCATTTGAAAATGTAAGAAAATGTCAACTCTGAGAACCTGTGAACTATCCATGACCAAGTTAGATATATGGTATTAAACAAATACTGAAGTTTACTTAAACCCTTTAGAACAAAAAGTAGTATACATTTTATTTGGTTAAAAAAAAAAAATATATATATATATATATATATATATATATATATATTTTTTTTTTTTTTTTTGATCCAGGCAAAGTTGTATGCCACTAACTCAGCTATTTAGAGGGGACTAAAGAAAGATCACAAGTTTCAGGCCATTTTAGGCAATTCAGCAAGACCTCCCTCAAAATAAAAATAAAAAGGGGCCAGGGATTTAGCTCGGCAGTTCAAGCATTTGCTTGGCAAGCACAAAGTCATGAGTTTGTACCAAAATAAATAAATAAACAAAATAACAATAAAAAAGGACTCGAGGTGTAGGTCAATGGTAGAGCACTTAGCATATACAAAGCCCTAGCATTCAATCCCCAGTACCACAACACAAAGCAAAGCCAAAAGTCAAATGAATAAATTGTACAGACTGCCATACTCATAGAAGACATCACGAGAGGACAGAATATGAAATAAAACACTGGAGCCGGGATGATCAGGAATTCTGTACTGATGACTCAGGGTTTAAGGACATATCTGTAACAAGTGGCTCATCTCTTCTGGGGAAGAACTCCAATCCCAAATGAAGACTGTTAAAGGAAGGTTAGTTGCTTTAAAACCATGCTATGTGACAAAATGAGAAAGCAGAATGAGAGCCCATGGCACAATTTTATGTAAATTTAAAAGGTATATAAGCCAAATATACTGTATATTTCTCAAACATATAAAGTAATACATAAAGGATAAAAATCATTTTTTGGGCTAAAGTACTAAAAGAACCACAACTTTGAAGGCAATCATTTTCATTCCCTACTCCCCTTCCTCCCTGGTTTTTTTGGTTGAGTCAAAAGATCTTCCTTCCTTTCTTTCTTTTTTCTTCCCGCTCGCTGTTTTGTTCTCATGGAACTAAGGGCCAATTTCCTGTATAATCCGTCTGCACAGGATATCCACTGAAACACATCCTACCAACTAGCACAAAAAAAAAAAAAAAAAAAAAAAAAAACCAAAAACACCCAACACTTTCCCCAAAGAAAAAAATCCCAAATTTTTCTGAGACCAAGAATGCATGTATTACACACATATAAAATCACAAAGAGAGTTAATTAAAAGAGGAGAACAAGCTAAGACCAAAACAAGATGAAAGAAAAGCCTGAGACAAGAGCAAGTAGATGGCAGTGTTACTCAGTGGGTCTAGTCCTTGCCACTTTTCTCATCAGTTACAACAGACATGTCTGGATGATTCAGATGTGCTGTGCCCGCCTGAAGTGTGAAGGCTGAGAATGTTTTATTTTTGAACAATGTGAAGTGACTACTGAGAATTAAGATAACTTAGGAAGTTAACTATTCTTCCAATTAATTGCTCATATAAAGGTAGATCATGGACTTAAAGTGAGACAGTAGAAGACTTGGAATTTTACTTACATCTGTAAAGGTAGCAAAAATACCTTATGACAATTAAAGTAATCTGGTTTTTTTTTTCTATTGATACACTTTTAGAACACAACAAAAATAAAACTGAAGCAACAACTTTTACATAGTACCATGATTAAACAAAGTAAAATCTAGAATAAAGCTAAATTCAAACTCAGGTAATTATGAAGCTTAATGCTTAATTTCATTAAAAACACTTTCTCCTAACTTGTCATTTAATAATTTTTATCAATTAAATTAGAAATCTCTCAGGTTGAAACTGGAAAAGTTGAAAGTACAAAATTTTCAGTTTAGGCATTTTTAAGTATTTTATAAACTTAATTATCTTCCAGAATTGCTTCATATGATTGCATATTCTCTAAGGAGCTAACAATTTTTAATATCACTATTTAAATCTACTAACTATCTGGATAAACTATTCAATAGTTTAGTTGATACAATTTAAATTCTTTACACATCTTAATATAAGCTATCACATATTACTTACATATTCTTCTATTCAACAAGTATTTATTAAAATTCTATTGTAAAACACAGAAACAAAAATAGCTACATAAAACTTCACTAACCAAGAATGAAGATAACAGTAACAACAGTAGGTGAGATTAATTCTTAAATATCACTATTTATACTTGCGTACTGTGTTTATTTATCTTCTCCCCAACTATCATCTCCGAACCATACCTGTCGAGTCGAGGAGAGCGGATCCTGAGGCCTCGCTGCAGGGGCAGCAAAGCAACGCGTCCTGATCTCTGCCATAACTATTAGCTGGGAGTAGAACTGTACCCAGGACCATCCTTTGGCCAGAAGCACAGAAGTTAAACTGTTCTGTGTAAAGAGGAAGTCTTAGAATTCCACTCTGACAAGCAATGCCACATGCATGTGGCATTTACTCATGTAGCAGTGGCCACGGGGAACCAATGAAAGGGTGAGCACTCACAACTCCTCCAGTGGGTGGAGAGTAACCTGAAGAAAAGTATCTGGTAGTCAGGGAAACACTGAATCAGAATGACGTTACTTTAGAAGCTCTGGGGATACTTTAAAAACATGTAAGTAAAATTAAGACATATGGGTTACATCAAACACACATGAGTAACAGCTTAATAATAAAATAAACTAAGGACCTGTACATCAGAAAGGTTTTCATTTCTAAGGAGATGATGAGGTGAGACCTCAGAGAAATGTTTCCTTGGAGAAAACTGTTTACAATAAAACACCAAGTATCCTTTTAAAAGAGGAAACGCCTAATAAGACTCATCTTTTACATCATTCAAAATAGCTCAAGAAACCACAATTACAAAGATAAATAGTTACGATCTGATTCAGATGCACAGTCAAAAGCTAGGAGTAAGTGCTTTCACTTTGGTTCTGTAGCTTATACAGCTTAAAAGACTGCCACAATGGTACTGCAAATGTCTGATTATTAAAACTTTAAAAAGCAAAAATCTACTCTTTCTTAACAGAGAGGAACAAAATTAACGCTTAAGAACTTAAAAAATCAGGGTAGGCCGGGGATTTAGTTCAGTGGCATAAGTGTCTGCCAAAAAGAAGAAAATGAGGGTAATCTTCTGAGAATTACACTCTTAAAATCTAATGGATGACTTTGGTGGTATGTCTTTTTTTTTTTTTAAAGAGGGTAAAACAAAATAGAACAAAACAGAACAAAGCAGATCAGAAGAAAACAATGTAAGTGACACAGGATTTCAAAGCAAGACATCAGGGGATCAATAGTGGCTATCATTAACATCTCTTATTTTCTTCTAAGTAGTTGTCTATATCTTCACACACAATGAATTCATAAAAAACAAAATAATATAAAACAAAACAGAAGAATGAAGGTATTACAGGCCTTCAAAATCAGACAACAGGAAAATCAGCAATGGCTACTGTAATGTCTCTTGTTCTCTTCAAAATAGCTGTGTATATCTTCATGTATTTTTTTGGTGGTATGTCTTACAAAAATAATGGGCTGGGGATTTAGATCAGCGGCATAAGCGCCTGTCTTGCAAGTGTGCAGTCGTGAGTTGGATCTCTGGTACCAATAAAAAACAATAATAGTAATATTTAAAAAGTGTTCATAACTGTATCTGTCAACATTCACTGATCAATAAACATTTATGAAGTGCCTACTATACACCAGATACTCTTCTTGATTCATACAAGTAACAAGCTAACAGCTAATGAGTTAAAAGTTGAAACATAAAATTATAATTTAATGTTATTAGAGAAAGAATGACCTGATATTTATTAAGTTTTTTTAAAGCTATGAAATCAACCTTTATAAAGCCAGTACTGTCAACATCATGTAGAAAGAATTATACTAAAGCTTACTTCAAATAATGACTCAGAATTTCAAAGACCAGACTGAATTTCTCCTCTGGATTATAAAAAAGAAATTATGAAAAAGGATCTCTATAATCCATGTTCTACCCATATGTAAATTCTATACCATAAATTTACTAGTCAGTAAAACCTATTTAGATTATCAATACATTTTAATTGCTATAATAGTTACAAGAGGAGAAAATTAACAAAATGTGTTAAATACATAAAATGTAGTATTACTTAAAAAGGAACAAAATTTCAATATGTGCTATAAAAAAGATAGGAATGAGACAGATGCAAAAAGGCAAATATTGTGTGGTTTATGTGAAAAAGCTACCAATTTTTCTAGTTCTCAAAAGCTAATTCTACAAATGGATAGTTGCACAATACTGTTATATTTACAGCTAGTCAAGTGCAAACCTAAAAACACTTAAAAGGATAAACTTTGTTATGGATATCTTGTCAAAATAAAAATTTAAAATTAAGATTGCTGGGGTTTCCAAAGATCTTTTCTGTATATGGGTTGTGTGTCATTCTTTACTGTATTTGAAATTGAAATCACGAAATGTTAGTACCATTTATTAATTATAAAATAACAAATACATTGATTTAAATAATAAAAGGAAAGCTGGGTATAGTGTTGCATGCCTGTCATTCTAGCACTAAGAAGGCAGGAGGATCACTAGTAAGTCTGAAGTCAGCCTGGGCCAGGAAAGCAAGTTCAAGGCCAGCCTGCACTACACAGCAAGACCCTGTCTCCATAAATAAATACACGAAACAAACTAATGGTATTTCAGGCTACTAATATACACAACTTAGACAAATTTCAAAAACATTATGCTGAGTTTCCCAAAGAAGTCAATAGCAAAAGAATGCAATTTTCAAAAGGCAAAACCATTGCAGTTGCCAGGGGTTGGGGAAAACAAAGTGAATTTTATTTATTTTTTTGATGGGGTGATATTCAGCAACCTGACTGTGGTAGCAATTACACAAACCTATATATGTTTTAAAATTTATATACTATACAGTAAAAAATGGTCCATCTTACTATATTTTCTTTTACAAAATTTTTTCTCTTTGAATTTTCAGTGTGGAATCCAGGAGTAAGCAATGAAAAACTCTCATACTTAGCACAAATAGAAAGAAAGGAAGAACAAGTGATAAGGACAATCAAGGAAGGACAAGAAAGCTATGAGAAATTGAAAAGGGTGATACTTGAGGATGGATCAATAGTCACCTACTGTTGAGATGTTAATAAATAAATACAAAAGTTTTCATTTCTTTTTAAAACTGTAAGAAATTTTCTGTATTCTTACAAATCTTCAAAAGCTTTATGAGTTGGAGGTGGTGGCGAACAACTGTAATCTCAGCACTTGGGAGGCTGAGGCAGGAGGATTGTTAAATTCAAGGCCAGTCTGAATGACACAGAGACTCTGTCTCAAGAAACAAGACAGACAGACAGGAAGAGAAACAGGGAGAGAGACAGAGTGAAAGATGATGGGCAAAAATCCTCCTTTACTGGAGACACATTTGTAGACTCTCATCATCCCAGAGATTGCCCTAAAAAAAAAAAATCAGAAAAAAAAAAAATGTTCTGTTTCATTCCATAAATTCATCCTCAATTTCTCCACCTTAGGAAACCTAAAACTTAACTCTTTTTTCCTGTCATTTCTCTACAAATTTATTCTTCCTGAAGTTTAGTTTATGTAAACTAAAGTGCTAAGCCACTGTTCTGTATTACTTATCACTCTGATTTCTCATGCCTGAGTTAATAAATTTGTTAGTCCTTTGGTTAATCGGTCTTTTGTTACAGGGATCTGTAACAAATCAAGTACAAATTCAAAGAGCCTGTAGAAAAAGTATTTCCTTTCCAAAAAGTGAAACAATTCCCATTTCTTTTGCTAACTATATTTTAATATATTCCTAAAACTATCATTTATTTTGCTGTTTATTTTATAAGCTGTGGTTGACACTGCATCAACTAATAGGAAATACATAAAGTACAACTTTCACTGGTACTTTTTTGTTTTGTTTTTTGAGATGGTTTCACTGTGCAGTGCAGCCTGGCCTTGAACTCACCATGTAGCTCAGACTGGCCTTGAAATCACAGTGATTCTCTTGCCTCCACCTCTGGAGCACTGGGATTACTGGAGTGAGCTACAATGCCAGACTAAAACTGGCACTCCTATGACTGCATATGACAAAGAAAAAATTTGATTCAGCTATGTGTAGGTCTACAATTTCAAACAGCTTCACCAAGAAGCTCTTATTTTTATAACCACACACGTGACCTTGGAGTGGAGCACCATCCCAGATGAACTTCCTCACAATTGACCACCTATCCCTTTTTCACAACAGCATGAAACACAGAACATAAAAGACACCAATGCACAGAAAGGTACTTCTACAACAGGAGTCCTTTAGTACTTTAGGATCTAATGGTAGACCTTAAAAACTGATCTGTAAACTGGCAGCTACTGTGCCCCTTGCTAAGGCTCCCAATATAACAGCTGACTAGAAATTCTAGGGAGAGTACCAATTCTACATTCTACAACTTTACTCTGAGCACTCACCTCTCTCCTGTTTCTTTCATGTATTCAAGACTTTAGGAACAAAAACTGGCTTTCCATCAAAAAAAGAGTAAGACTCCTATTTGTCAATAAACTTTTCGTTCTTGTGTGTGAAGGGTGGGTGGGAGAGGAAGGGTGTTGGGGATTCAATCTTGGGCCTTGAACATGCCAGGCAAGTGTTCTATCACTGAGCTATACTGTCAGCATTCCCACCTCCCCCCACCCATCCCTTTTTCTTTTAATCTAAGAGCTCAGGCTGTATTAGGCAGCCTGGATTCTGGTACTTAAAAAGATAAAATCTGGGTTTAACATTATCATTTGTAAAACAGGAAAACTAGTAAGAACCTCAAGGGGTCCTTAAAAGTTTAAATGCATAGAAGGACTCAGTAGAGATCTTAACACCATTAATTTAAAACCTTCTTTCTATAGTCTAAGAGAGGTGACTTACTACTTTGAAAATCAATCTATTAAAAGATAAGATAAACTTTTAGGGAACAAGTTGAAAGCTTTAGTACAGCTAACAGGAAGTAAAGGTACAGCAGTAACAAATAGGCTAAGATTAACTCTGTGTGTGTATCTTTTTGAGACAGGGTCTCGCTATGCAGTTCAGGCTGGACTTGGCTCACTTTGTAGTCCAGGATAGTCTTGAATTTGCAAGGATCCTCCTGCCTCAGTCTCCTACGTGCTGGGATTACAGGAGTGTGCCACCAGGCCTGGCAAGATTAACTCTCTTTAGGGCTGGGTGTGGTAGTTTACACCTGTAATCCCAGCACTCAGGAGGCTGAGGCAGGAGGATCTCTGTGAAACACTATCTCAAAAACACTAAAGATTAGCTTAGTTCTCTTTAGGATAGTCATTAATAGGAGTAATAAGGAGGTTTCTTTTTCATAAAGTTTCTCATTCATTGAAAAGTCATGACGACATTTTAATCAGGACTATGTATACCCTGTTATATTCAAATCCTTTTTTTTTTTTTTTTTTTTTTTTTTTTGGTACGAGGAATCAAACTTAGGACCTTGTGGCTTCCCAGGCAGGCACTGTGCCACTGAGCTATCGCCCCGGCTCAAATTCTGCATTTCTTTTAAGGTGTGCTTTAAGTTCCTGGATTCTTTTTGAACCTGACAGATTGAGTATCACTTGCTTTACCTATGCTCACAGACCTTTCTGCCTAAAACAGCAGCTGCTGTACAAATCTGGGACATCTTTGTACCTTATTTGCTACAGTTTACTACTCCCAGTTTTTACAGGGATTTTCCCTTGAAGTAATATTAACTATTTATAGACACTGAATCAACATGCTTCTCTGGTCAATGAAACCAGCAAAGCACTTTTCTAATAAAAATATGATTGATAAGAAGAACCAACTGAGCTGGGTGTGATGAGGCTCACCTGTAACCCTAAACACTGTGAGAAGCTGAGGCAGGAAGATCACAAGTCTGAGCCCAGCATGGGCAATTCGACCATTCAATGAGACTCTGTCTCGATAAAAATACTAAAGGGCTGGGAATTTAGCTCAGTGAAAAGGCTCTGGGTTTAATGTTCAATGGCAGAAAGGAAGAAAAAAGAAAGGCAGCCAGCGTGTCTGCCTCATTGTAAAATTTAAATGTGAGAGCTCCTGCTAGAAAAATGAAAGCTAAAACAGCAACTTTTCTGTTTGTCAGATAAATTTCTTTCATAATCACTGCTCAAAATCAACTGTGTTGGTACAAATCTATAACACTGGCTACTCAGGAGGCTGAGGCAGGAGAATCATAAGTCTGAGGCCAGACTGGAAATTATTTACTAAAAGGATAAGATTCTAAGGGCAGCACTGAGTATTAGAGGATTACAGACCATTGTAAAAAATCTCAGTTGTTATCACCACTTTTGAGAGTTCACCTATGACACTATATCTAGTCAAACAATATACCCAGGTCCATACAGGATGCACTTGCTTCTATCAGAGTAAGAAACTTGTCTAACTACATAAACATAGGTGTCAGGCTACTCTGAATTCAAAATCTTCTAGGAAATAGGAAGAAAATAATAC